GGGAAAGAAATGATAACCATGTCGATAGAAACGAAGCAAAGCTTGAAAAATCTGATGCTTATTTTATCAGCTGGTTCTTGAGTTTACTGGTTTGAATTGTCGGGAAATCTGCAGCCACTGATGCATGCTGGAGGTCCTGGTCCTGGAGGAATGGCAATGATGCCGATCATGTTACCCGATGGAAGGATCGGATATGTCCTGTGAGTCTCTCCTTAGAGTTTTTTTTTTTACTTTTTTTCCTGATACATATATGCACATAAGGAGGACATATACACACACACATGTATACTGGGATGTCAGAGACAATGCATCATACATTAGGTAACAAATGCACATAATCAAATATGGTTTTGCACGTACATAGACGCACATAAACACACATAGACATGCGCACAGATACAGGTGCATACACATTCACAATTAAGTCTGTGTATAGATGCAAATTCACTCAGACATGCACATATATACACATTGGTGCAAGTTACATACACTACATATATACGGGCGCACACAAGCACTCAGAGACAGGTGCACATGTACACACAAATTAGCGGTATACGCATGAGTTCCCATATGCATTCGCGCAAATGCTTGTATGTAGAGATGCAGTCACTCACACACACAAGCACGCAGAGAGAGTGATCATTACGCAGACAAGCAAACTCTCTGATGCAAAAATTAACGGGTCGTGGACACTTAATTAAGCAAAAACCTTACCATCAATCTAGGCTCTGCATCATGTGTATCAAGCTTTGTAATCTTTAACAAACAGTCAAGAGTGTAAGCATTGATCTAATTTGTTCATAATCTTAACAAATGGCAGGCAACAACCGGGACTAGGAGCAATGCCGCCACCTCGGCCTTCACCGCCACCCCGGGGAGGAAGGTCGTCTGGTTCGGGAGGCAGCTCGAGCAGCGGCAAACGCAACCACAACCATGATAACGGTAGAGGACGCAGCCGATACAACCCTTATTAGGCCCTCAATCCGTAAAAATTGGTATGATTTGGAAAAATTTCCCAAAAGGCTTCACAGAATTCATTTCAGCCAGACGTGGTTTTTTTTTTTTTTTTTTTTTTTTTTTTTTTTTTCTTTTGTCTTGTCTTAAATGGAACAGTTTTTTAGTTTGAAGTGAAGTGAAACTCAGGAAGATGAGATTCGGACCCTTTTTTTTATTTATTAACAACTTTCTATGTATTGTTTTTGAGCATTTGGTCGTACATCTGAGTGTTGTTTCAATATCTAAATCAACGGTTGAGATTAGCAAGGATTTTTCATCGGGCGGCTAAGGTTCTCAGTCATTTAATCAGGCGGGGGCGGATTGATAAAACCAACGGCTGAGATTTGTTGCTGCAATTAGTTTTAAAAAATTTGACGGTTTGGATGTGTTGGGTCTAATCGGACGGTTCAAAATTCATTTCGCGCATCAAATGGTCAAGATTGAATATACAAATCAATGGTCAAGATTCGTGTGGCATAATCAAACGATTGGAATGCAGACCCGAATTCAAAATGATCCTATCTAAATCTAAGAGTAATATTTATTTTATTTTTTTAAATTCAGATACTCAATCTGAAATTTAGATGGAATATTCGAAAATTAGTGGGATACCTGTGGACTGTAATCTATCAAACAGCGAGAAGAAATTCTATGGATTCGGGTGAAAATGATGAGTAATATTCTAGAAACTGCATATAGATTCTAAAAGGAACCGTACGGAACAAATACATATATATATATATATATATATAGAGAGAGAGAGAGAGAGAGAGAGAGAGAGAGAGAGAGCAAAGAGAGATTTGTCTTCCTGGTCAAGTGGGAGAGTTCCTCTACGACTTCGCTTCCGACATTTACTTAATAGTTGTACGCGAATTTGATTGGCTTTGCCATTTTATATTAAAATGATTTATTTTCCTGTCCCAGGTCTCTGAGACATAATTTTTCAGATTTTATACATTAGTGTTTTATTTTTGACAGATCACATATGAAACTTTATATTTGTGGGCCCTAGTGAATCGTAAATCTTCTAGAATTTGATTCCTGTGGGTTTGAGTATTTATATTTTTTCCAAAGCGAAATAAATATTTTTTTTAAAAAGGAAGAATATATCTTGCATTGTAAAAACATATGGCTTGAAATTTAGTCATTCAATTATATTTAGAATTTTTTTTTTATTTTGAAAAACTCTCTCTCTTTGTGTTACATTTCAGTTTCGTGAAGAGCTTATGCAAGTAAACATAGGATTTGATTAGAGTTAAATATGATTTTAGGGAAATTAGAAATGGTTGGCATTTAAGAATTTCACACATTTAAAATAAAAAAAATTGTAAATGATCTTTAGAAACTATAGCTTATTCTATTTCAAATTGTTGAAATAAGTTGTCATTTCAAATAAAAAAAAATATATCATATTTAATTTCAAGATCAACATTTTCTTAATTGGTCAAAATATTTCTTCATGATAAGGACAATTCATAGTGAAAATAAAGGAGCTTCTAGAAACAATTTTTTAACTTTAATGACTCATGGGATGACAAATAGTACCGAGAGAACTAAACTTATATTATTTTTTCCTTTTTTTTTATTTTTTTGTTGAAAAATGTCGAAGATAAATTATTTTTAAAGGTAATATTAAAAAAAGCTTCGTAACATTTGACACTTATTTTAGTGTTTTCTTATTTTTTTTGTCTAAGTGGCGTCACCATAGTCAAAGGAATTAAATTTGAATTTTTCCTCCATATAATAATATAATATTACTATTATATCGAATCCGATAACACAAATCATTTGTAGAACCTTACGCAGTCATCGTCTCCGAAATATCTAGAATCTAATATGATGGACAAAATTATCCAAAACACTTGAAAATAATCTTAATTACAAATTTAGATATCTAAATAATTTGCACCCAACTTATATATTAAAAATATGATATATACACACACGCACATTCAGATAGATTGTTTTTTAAATAGATATTATGTATATGAATATGTAATTATGTTATTAAATTATTTTTTTATTTAAAACCTTATTTATGCTGTGATCGTGACAATAAATACATTGATTTGTGTAATGGATAGAGATACCATTTGATACACAAACAAAATACAATGTACGCGTACTTTTAATACTATATTTTTTGGTAGTCATTATTTAGCTTCAATTACAAAAAATTGTAGGCCATTGGCATTATTAGCTTGTTTGTTGATAAATAAAACAATATAATTATTGGTAACAGTTGATGTCAACAATTCACGTTTTATTTGAAAAAAAAATAGTGATGTCTACTGAATTTCTAAAACCAAATATTTTTTCTAAATATATTATTATCTATTATATTCAACGATTGTATATTTTCAAGGGCTGATCTAGTGTCGGTGACGGTGATATGATTCCGCAAAACTATTAAGGTTTAGAAAAAAAATTTATTATTATACTGATAAATGATTATTTAAAATTTGACCCCGCCACAAAATAATTATTGTTACAATACTATATTTATTTTGTTTACGGTCTAAAAGGGTTTGAAATAATTATTTTGATAGATTAGTGTTAATTAATCTTCAAACTTTGACTAATATTTTGGAGAACAGCGAAGAAATGAAATAAAAAGCTAACATGAATATATATATATATATATATATATATTCACTAATATTATTGATATGTGTTAAATGTTGTGATATTAAATTATATTCAAATCATTTGAATAGTATTTAAAATGCTTTTATTTTGATTATTCAAGAATAATTGTTATAAATTTAAATTAATTCTCTAATAGGTATTCTTTCGTACTCAAACGAGATTATACATGAAGAACGTTAAAATAATTTGGATCGCAACAATAACAATAATAATGCTTAAGGATGTCTTTCTTACAAATTTGTATAGTAATTTGTTTGTTTGTTTTTAATATAAATTATTTACGAATCTTCATTATTTTTGTATTTTAATAGTCTATAATTTAATAAATATAACTAAAAAAACAAAATAGACACACCACGAGAAAATAAAAGCCTGTGAGCGTTGCATGTCGCTATGACACGGCGACCACAAAACATTGAAACAGCATCACATGAACTTGAAATTAAAAAAAAAAAACAAAAAAACAATATAAAAAAATGTGAAAAAAAACCTCTCGAAACCAATTTAGACTTCTATATTATATTGCTCACTGCTTATGTTTTTGAACTTTTGTTAATTACAAGTTCCTAAAATTAATAAATACGCACTAAAAAAAATGTTGCTAAACAATTCTAGTACACATATTTTTGTCTAACTTAATTGTTTTGGGTAAATTGTCTCTAACCTAATCTTAAGATTTGTTTTTTTTTATAACTTCTTTCATAAATTTATAATATGCCTGTTCAAATTTAAATTCGAAAAATATTATCAAATAAAATTTTAATATCGTACATTTTATATAGAACCGATTAAATCGAGCAAACTGATGGAAGACAATTATACCAATTTATGATAAATTCATGAAAGGAAAAAAAACAGTGACGTCACCACTTATTGATATATGTGTGTTCCCTGTGTATGAAGTAGGATCCTACAGCGTGTAACGTTTCGTATTTAATAACGATATATTATTTATTAATTACACGATTTCCATTTTCGTGATGTTAACTTAATGCCCTGAAAATTAATATGGAATTTCTAGGAATCAAAGGATTATATAGTGTAAATGTAATATAATTAATATATACGTAAAAGCGTAATAATAATTAATTTGCGAGTAAATTACCTTGAGTCCTAATCGGATACCACCTTTGAGAAGAACACAAAACTTCTTATCGTGCACGAAATATTAATAAATATCTATAAAACCGTTAATTGTTTAGATTATTTCGTTGAAAAGCCCCAATCAAACGCATAGATAATTAAATTAAAATAATAAAAGAAAAGTCCAGCCTAAGAGGAGTTTGATGGTACACGCTCCGTTTTTTTTACTGTTAGTAATAAACCACTAGGAGGGGTGTCAATCGCACACTTAGGTCCCTGAGTGTTTCGGATTCGGGTTCGTGACGATCCGATTTTTTCGGATTTATATAATTAAATCTAAAGTTTGTAACTATAAGTTTCGGATTTAGATCGGACCAGTCTGCTAAATTCATTTGTAATTATATTTTTTTCTTTTTTTTTTTAATTAGAAAAAACATAAGAGTTTATTTTTTAAAATTTGATTAACTCATATTATAAATGAATGAGTACGTTTTTCCCCCCATAATTTACAGGAACTCATTACGGGAAGGTACAGATTTTTTTTTTTTGTGCACGGAAAAAGGTATTACTTTGTAATTTATTTATTTAATTTTGAATAGGATGAGAATAATAACCTAATTTTAATAAATATGGGTGTCTGCGTATATAGACAGCACAAGTCAACTGTCATGATCCAAAACCTGTCCGAATTAAAATAGGAAAAAAGGAGAATAAAGAATTAACAAAGATAATTCCAAAAAGAGAGAAAAAAAGGGATCCCTTTCTTTTTCTTCTTCGTCTTATAAAAACCGTTCCTCGCATCTTCTTCCCCTCCATCGAGCTCTCTCTCTCTCTCACTAAAATCAAAACCCTCTCTGTTTCTCTCTCTAAAACCTCCCATCGTCTGAAACAACAACAGAATTTTTCAGATGCCACAAGTCGATCTCGAGAACTTTGTTTCTTCCGTATGTTCAGGAGGATCCGACCGCAAGATCTCTTGCGAGACCCTCGCCGACCCGACCCATGACCCGAAAACCAGATCCCACTACGTATCCGCCGCCTCTCCGCCGGAATCTTACTTCCTGTCCAGGGAAGCACAGATCGCGTGGCTGAGTCAGAACGCGTTCTTCGAGCGCAAAGAATCCCAGAAAGGAAACTCTGCTTCGAATTCGAATCCGGGTTCAAATTTCAACCCGAATTCGAACCCGAAAACGAATTCGCAGCGGATATCGCTCAAGTCTAAGGCGTCAATCATCGGATTGCCGAAGCCGCAGAAGACTTGCTTCGACGAGGCCAAGACCCGGAGAAATTGCAGAATCGCCAAGACCTTGATGATCCCGAAACGGGTCGGGTCGAGGCCGAAATCGGATCCCTCGTTGTCTGAACCGTCTTCGCCGAAGGTGTCTTGCATCGGGCGAGTGAGATCCAAACGTGATCGCAGCCGCCGGATCCGCCGTCAGAAATCGGTCCGGTCCGACACAGTTATCGATAAACCGATCAGGGACAGAAAACCCGGTTTTCTCGCCAGCTTCAGGGCAATCTTCAGGACCGGAGGAGGATGCAAGGACGTATCCGCGACGGCTCATGGGTCACACCTGTCGCCGGCGACGCGAGACATCAGGAGCCGGCTTCCACCGGATGATGTGGACGCAGTTCGGTTTGTTCATAACCGGTTTGAGGAACCGGTCTTTTCGAGAAGGTCGTGCGATGAACCGGTTAGGTCCGGTTTCGGTGCGATGAACCGGTTTTCGTCTGGGAGGAGACCGGATTTGTTGGTTGATGTTGACGTGGCATAACTTGCGCCGTCTGATACGGGGTACCAGTATGGGGCCCAAGTCGGTGTGTGATTGGCTGGTTGGTGGGTCCCACAAATTTTCCTCTCTGAAAAGTCGTTGGTGCTGACGTGGCGATTGTGTAACGGTTTTCCCACCAAAGTAAACGCGTACGTCAGTGATTTTCGGGCTATTTCCCAAACGCGCCGTTTTTGTCACTTCTTACGTGGTTTATTTACGTTTTTACGTTGAATTTTTGCTCCTCCTTGGGTTTTCCTTTTATTTTCCTTATTTGGTTGTAAATAGTTATCTATATTTGTATATGCGAATTTTTGGTGAATTTTGGAAATCTAGGTATATATATATTGTGGTGATTGGCCATATATATATATATATAACAATTCAAAATCTAATATAATATGCTGTTAATTCGTCAATTTAAATAAAAACGGTTTAAAATGATAAGGTATACAAATTAATATGGGACTGAGTCACACGTAAAACATCGTGTTTTCAGAGTTCAGACGTATATACAGGCGCGTGTACATGCAATACAGTTCACACACGCAAACGCGCACACAACATTATATTTATATATATATATATAATCATTAAAATATAACTGATAGCGATAATTTCACTCAATTGTCATTAGTCGGAGTAGAAATGAAGCTACATTAGGAAAACCACGTGAACTGGTCAACAAAAAATGCATTCGTATAATAATTACGATTTTTATTCCACTATAAAGAAATAAAGACAAAATAACTTTGATGAAAATGAATATTTGACGTATGCGCGTGTGAAAGGAGTTGGATTTTAAGGATTTTCATGTATTTATAATATGTGATTTCATTTAATTTAATGAAAATAAAAGTGTCATATATATATACATATATATATATATATATATATATATTATGTTTGGCCCGATTTTTCATGTTAGTGGGTCATAAATAAGGAACAGCAGTGAGTCCTTGTCATGGATTTGGCATTTCATCACTGGTTACTTGCACATATCACATGAGAGTCGCAACAACAATTTCAAAGCTTTCCTACACTTAGCCGGATTTTCGGGGGTTTTTTTTTTTTTTATAATTAGGATTTTGATTCGATTCGGATTTTATTCTATTTCTTATATCCTATTATTTTAAATTATATCCTAAACATATTTTTTTATCTTCATATTCGTTTATTTTCGATTAATTGTATTAATAAAATTCAAAGAAACATTTGTGGGATATTTGGTTGAAATTGATTTGAATTTGTTTTGTTTTTTTTTTATATTCAAAAAATTCATCGGGTCTTCGTCTCAAATATCTCTCTCCAAAATTTAGAAGATTGGCCGGGTAATTGCCATTTAAGGTGTCATCTTTCCAAAACGAGTGCTCGAACCTATATTAGAAAGAAGTTTTGCCACATCCCTTATCAGTTCAATCGTGGGTCTTAAATTGATTCAGTTTTGATTATTTGAATCGAAATAGCCTAACCGTTATTCACAATGTATTGAATTTTATAACACGTCTCAAGTATAATCAAATGATGAAATTCAGAATCCTTTTAATGTTCTAATAATAATAATAAGGAAAAATGGCAAAAATCCACACAGATTAATTTTACACATTTGGTATAATCTGTATGGGTTTTTGCCATTTTCTCTAATAATAATAATAATAATAATAATAATAATATTTTAATATTGTAAGTGTTTTAGATATTAAAATGGGTGAATGAATTAGGTAAGGAATGAGTCTAAAAGGACTAACTAGTATTTGTAATAATAAGGAGTGTATAGAAAAATTCAATTCCTAAGGTCCACCAATTATGATAAAAATGGGGGTTTTGATAATGACAACAAATCTGCCCTTCCATTGAACCATTCTTACAAACAAACAAAACCCGTTTGCTAATTCTCATTGGAATATACATATATATATATATATATATATGTATGTATATAAAAGTAAAACTTGGGAACTCGCGGAATGAAACTCAAAAACATAATTTATAAGTAAAAATAAAAGTTTCTAAAAATGACAAAATACTTTAATGAAGAAATCTATAAAAAAAATTTGAGAATTCTGATCGTTACACAAATAAACCCCCCAAATATAAATCGTATCGTATTAATTAAGGACTCGTTATCTTTTATGTCGCGTGTAATAAATTGTCAATTTCTTTAACCAGAAACAAAAAAGAAATTGTCAAATTTACGGCAAAGTTGTAGAAAGCTTCACTTATTCTGCTTAAAAAAATTTGTCTCGTGATTGGAAAATAATTCGAATCATAAATATTATGCTTCACATAAACAATTCTCTAAATTACTTCGGTTGATATGAGAATAAATTATCATAAGACTGTGATTTAAGAATTAAATCTTCATTTTCAACCAATTACGTTATGCAAAATAATACTGTAGATACATAAATATATAATAACATAAAAGGGTACTATATAATATATATATAGGATAAGCTCATTCACATATCCTCGTTGCATTTATTCTGCAACATCACGCACCAAACATGGGAAAGCTAAATCTAGCAGTGAACAACATAAGTAATACACGAGATTAGGGTTTATTATATTATATTTTTTTCAAGAATCCATTTATTTATTTTGGATTATATATATTATAATACAATGATAAAGTTATTTGGGAGTTTTAATTAATTAATGTGATCGACCTTCCTGTGGTTGTGGGAGAGCTTGTGGAACATCTCCACTTTGCGACCGTTGAGGGATTGAATCGGTCTTGAGTTGTTCTTGTACTCAATGTCCAATGGGGCTTCTAGTAATTCTACTTGTTCCTTTGAAATTGATCTCACCTGCATCATATACACATATTTATGCATGTGTGCATGTACATGTATATGTGTGTGTATGTATATAGAGTTTTGGACATCATTATGTATGTGATTGATGTGTCAGTTTCAAATTACGTCAAATATCGAAAATATAAGATGGTCTAATGGTAAGAGAATATCAAAACGTGTTCTTATCCCGGGTTCGAAAACATGAAGAAGAGTATTCTTTCGTACTTTTCTAATATTCTGAGATGTAATTGGATCAAAAGATTTGATAAACTTTTCAAGATTATAAAAAAATACTTTATTGACTTTTATACTTAGTAAAAAAAAATTGGTTCAACATCATGGATTAGGACTCTCAATTCATGGGCTAATACTAGTTTTAAACATTATAATATTGATTGGGTTGTAAACCAAGACGCGAAATCCGTTGAATTTAATTAGTCCCCGGTATTTAAAAAAAACGAAATATGAATTTCTGTAAGCCAAAGTGTTGGATAATTAAATTATTTATGGGTAGAGATTTCAAATCATAAAATCATTATAAATTAATGGTCAAATCCACACCAATATTGACTATAAGACTCTTCTATGAAACGATTTACCTTCAACCCTTTTTCTTTTTCATTTTCTTTTTCATTTTAAACAAATAGATTTAAATAATTTGAAGTAACCATATGAAATGACAAAAATGTAATATACGATGTATATGTATGGTATAAATAAATATATATATATACCTGGCTAAGGATGGTCCAAGAGACGGTTTCGGAGCAAGGAGGGGTGGTGAGGGAACCAACGTATCTGAAATAATTGCCGGTTTTGTGTTCGATGTGTTTTGTCTCCACTTCCCCTACTTCCACTTGCGCCGTTGTGTTCCCTCCCCTCTTGTCTTCTATCAATCTCTCCAACTTCTCCTTTATCTTTTACATCACCATCATCACCATCATCATCATCATCATCATCATCATCACCATCATCATTACTAAAACATTTTTAATTATATATAGTCTTACAAAATATTACACACATACATATATTCTCAAGATAGTTATTTGGACGATTGAACGAAATATTTAAAGTTAAAGACTCGTTTAGTTAAAAGATATTGGTCGATTAGGGTTTCTGATTTCGAGAAGATAGCGATTGAGAATCCGATATAATGCAAAACGCAAAACGCAAACGCAGAAGTAATCTTATACCTTGGCGAGGAAAGGGTCCTCGTGGCCTAATTTGAAGAGCGTAGCGACGACGGCGAAGTCTCCATCTTGTGCTTGGTGGACCATGTGGAGCTCTGCAGCATATCTGCGTTTTCCATTTTTTCATATCTTTATTAAAAATTAAACCGTTATAATAACGGTTCTTTTGCCGAATAATGGATTAATTTCAATCTAATTAATATATTATGCATGAGATGCTAGTGCAAACTCTAGCATCCATAATCAAATATTGTAGTCGAATCCAATAAAGTATTGGTGTTCGGTATGGTCCGGTTTGGTTTTTGGATTTGTTTCGGTCCAAATCAAATTCGGTTTAGTAGTGGCAGGTCCAATGAGACATTGTTTTTGAAAATATATTAATGGTTTGTGCCATCCTTTTTTTTTATTTACCAAACCTACATATTTTGCTCCATAGATTGATTCATTTTATGTGAAAATTGGTCGGCCCATTAGTAATTGTAAAATGCAATTGGGCCACACTATCTATATGTCCAACATTCAACATGACATAAAATGGGGAAATTGATATATATATATATATATGATTTAAAAAATAATAATAATAGTAAAAAAGGAAGATAATGGACTCACTGGATCCCATCGATAAGATGCTCTGAAGGAGTGTGCCAATGCATCTGGTGCAAAGTGTAGTTCTTTCCATTTAACACCATGTCTCCTGCCCCTCCCCCGAAAAACATCTACATATATTTTTTGTATAGATACATGGTCAGATTACTTACCACCCTAATCATATCTTAATTTATCTAATCATATATATATGGTCGTTAAAAAAACCCTATTATTGCTTATATCAAGAGCTATTCATTTATGAAAACAATTTATCATAACTACACTTGTAAAACTCAGTAGTATTATAACATTTGATTCCCCTATATGACCCCAACAATTTGTACCAAAGTTTCTAAATCATTTTAAAGAAACCTGAATAAAATCTAATGTTTTCAACATGCCATCATGAAATTATAAAAATAATTTTGATCGAGGGATTTTCGAGTTAACCGCGACGTTGCAGACGTGGTTAAGGAGAGTGGCGTTTGCGGGATGGTAACGGTTGAGGAGAGATCCCAATCTCCGGTTGTAGAGAGCGTGCTTCTTGTGGATATCGATCGGAGACTGTAATTTTCCGGCGGAGCATTTGGTGTAATGAGGGTCGAGGCTCCCCCATCTCGTCGGTCCATTCCTCCCTTCGTACCCAAACCCCACCCCTTGATTCTCTGCCCATTTCAAGAACATTATAAAATAATTATACAGAAATTCCGACATATCTCATTAATCTATACATTGTCATGTTTTTTTTACATTGACAACACACACACACATATATATATATATATATATATGTATATCAAGAACCTCTTCTTCTAGGGTTCTTGTTCTTTGTTTGTCTGATCCATTATTTAAAACACACACACACATATATATATATATATATATGTATATGTATATATATATATATATATCGAGAGAGAGAGAGAGAGCATACGGGCATTTGCAGAGGCAATGCAGAGGAGCAGAGGAATGGAGAAGAAAGGGAGATTGATCATCTTCTTCTTCATTACTTAATCTTCTATTTAATTTGAAAAACCTCTGTAAAAAAAAAATGAGAAATGGGTTCTGTATTATAAGCGTAGCCTTGGAGGGCTTTTGCAGAGAGCGCCAAATTTCAAGGGCCCACAATTTTATAAAAGGAAAAAATTTATAGTTATAACAATTTTAATAGAATTTCGAAATATTGGTTAGCATTTAAGATTTATTATATTTTTTTACCGTTATGATTGATCTGTTACTTTAATCTAAAAACTCGTCATAATTTTTTTAACTCGATTTTTTAGACCTAAATATTAATCACAGTCTCTCTTTATTTAATAAAATACTATTATCATTCTTTAATGTTGCAAACATAATATTTTAATTTGAATAGAAAATCTATTTTTTAACGTAAATTTTTTTTTAATGAAATATTAATTACAATTTTTTATAATTTCTATTAATTTTTATATTCTATTTAATACAATTAAATTTAAAGTTTATTAAATTTCGGTTATATTTCAAATTATTTTTTATCTAAGTTTTACAAATTAAATTTTACAAAATCCTACAACAGCCAAAAAATATTTTAGACTGCAATGATTTATAAAAATGATTAAGAAGAGGGATAAATTTAAATTTGCCAAAAAAATATGCAAGTACTAAAATTATTTTTAATTTAAACCTGTGGGAAAAAAATAATCTCTTGTAGTTTGAAGTTCCTCATTTTGGCTAAGCTGTCTCTCTCCTATCTATAATTATAAGAGACTTACATCTCCATTATTTCTTGGGATCTCTCTTTCTAACTTTAGCTGTATTTTGTCGTTTTCTGCCCTTCGATTATTTTTTTTTTGGGTGTTAAACAATTCCCATTTTTCGAAAAAGAAAATATAAATTTTAATCTATTCAATCTTTTTTGATAAACTAATCTATTCAATCTTTTGTTTTTATTCTCTAAATAAAGCCCCTTTTGTTTTTGGGTTATGCAAATTTTAGTGATTAGTCTCTCTCTATCTCTCTCTTTTTTTGTAGAATTGATTATTTACTTGAGATTTCATATGTTCGGTGAATTTTATAAAATACATTATTTTAAAGTATTTAACATTGCAATATCTTGTTATGCTTGCCCGGACCCATAATCTACAAGTACTTGGATAGGAATCAATTATACCACCACAGAAAAAAATTGGTGAATAGAAAAAAAAAACTAAGAAAAAAAATTATAGGTAAGATTATAATTGTAGGTTAAGGATTAATTAATGTGTTTTCTTAAACTACCGATGAATTAAGATGACGAATTGCAAAAAAAATTCTGTATATATATATATATATATATATATATGATTGAGATTTAACATACTATGCCAACTCTTGCATGGACCTTACTTGTCTTTTTGTTCTTGTTGTGTTTACAAACGACAGATAATGCCTCTCCAAATTAAAAACACACATACGATGTAGATCTACAAACCCACATCCATGGACATGCATACACCTGCGTTAGTTAATTATATATTATTAGTGTTTCCAATAATTTTTTCTTTCTAGATCTATGACTTATCTTTATATACGCCGTATTAGTCAGTCTCACTTGTTTTTCCTCTTTTTTTTTTTCCCGGTCATGATTGTAATACACACGATAAATGAATTATTTTGTAAAAAAATATATTTTATATTTGGATTTATAGAAAATAAAATAGATACAATTTTGATCATGTGACCATCAACTAGCTAGGGGCATTTCTTAAATAGTAAAAGGACAAACTATCCGAAGAGAAAACCAATAAACCCATATTCTTTGGTTTCTCTCCGATCGGAAAAAAAGGTTATGATTTTTTTTTTTTACACAATTTATTTTGTATACATAAAATAACATTTGGTCCCAATAATTAGAGAAGAGAAAAGAATGGTATTCCGTGAAAGTGTTAATCTTTTACTTTTTTATATCGACGCAGAATCAGAACCCTAATTTGATTAATTTCTCTGAGAATTCAATAATTTCATATACTTTACAAAATTAGTTAATTGAATGTGAACTACCAAGAAAAATAATCTTGTTTTAATGGATCCTACGACGAAAGAACAAGAAGCTTAGAATAAGAAGAGAAAAAACCTGATCTCGTTTTAATCCTATCTAAAAATCAAATGTATGATTTTTCTTAAACCAAATTATATAAATCTGAACCAAAATCTAACCGAAAAACCAAACAAAACATTTTTTTTTAAAAAAAATAGTATTTTAATGAAAATCAAACCTGAACCAAAACAAAACAAACAAAATAAAACTGAATGGATATATAGTTTTAAAAAATTAAAAAAACGTCTAGCCCTAGATGTGTATATACTTAAGCATCATAAAAACAATCTAATAAAACCAACTCGGGGTTGACTTTGCGTTGAGTTCTCTTTCCACTATCGTTGACTTGAGTCAAACCCTCTACCACAAGACAAGGATCCCCACCCAAAATGCAATATGGCGAAGAAGCTAAAAGGCATCAAATGCAATGGCTGCCACATGAAATGCTAACATGAAAGCAACAACACCATAACATTAGCCTCTTTTCTTCTTGGCTTTACAATGTGGAGATTCATGGTGAATCAAGTGATTTACACTGTCCCCACAGGACAAGAGTGCACGCTTCTGATACAAAAAAAACAGAGCCAAACACTTGGCCCTTCTTTTTTTTGGTGACGACCCATATGCCGCCCTTTCGGCATAATGTAACTATTACAGCGACTTATATCCATAACCCATGACTTGTCAGTGACCAATCTTATCCGCAGTATTACCTTTATGAACCCAAACAAAAGCCATGAGCTTGTTCTTGGAAAATTTTGGACCCTTTAATTTGGGGTCCCGAAGATCCACTAACAAAAGCTGAAACTGAAAGAGAAAAAACACATGGTAGAGATTTGTTGGCACACCTCTTACTTGACTTTTGATGATTCCTGGTTGTAGTGCCAAGCGACGACATCTTTGTAAGCTAAGTTGCCTCCGAAGATGTCTAAAGCACTACCCACAGTCACATCCACTCGCCCATTCCCGGCTTCTTTGATCCTCTCTAGATCATCCATCACGGTGACGCCTCCCGCATAAGTTACTGGAATCTGATAGCTAAACCGTATGAGATATACAGAATACAGAGTTGTGAAATCGTGGTTCGGTAATGCAATTGTGTCTTTGTTGATCCAGAAGTGGGTTCGGGATGTAATTATCTACGAGAGCAGGGAAAAGACAATACCCTGTCCTGTTTTCTTTTAGATGTAAAATTTTCCTGGACAAGATAACAACTTAGCCCTGTATTCCGACACATAACTACTGTCCATCTTACTCTATCTTATGTAATACCTCTTCCTAGTTTTCTATCCTTGTTTTATTAACATTGAAAACCCGATTAAATGACCTGCAAAGAGCTTTCAAGTACGCTGAATTCAGTAGAGCTGTGTTGTGTAAAGGATTCGGGTAGTATGAGAAAAGGAGTATTTTGATGGATGAGGGAAAGCTGCCATTTAGTTCTTAAAGTTTTGGCAGCAAAGACACACGAGGAAGGCAAGACATTCGGAAGTCCGAATTAAGAATTGATATATAGTGGAAATGAATAGAAAAGCTTATGCTACTCACCGGAGAATATCTGCCCAGCAATGCAACAAGCTCTTCATCAATCCCTAGCCTGGTGAGAAGAAAAACTAGCATCAGTACATTTTTAATTCAGTACTGTTACTTTAATAAGTTTATCAGGCAAGAAACGATGACTCCAATTAGCTGAAAGACCACGTTCGGAGAGATTGAACTTACTTTTTCCCTTCAACATCTACCCCATGGACAAGAAACTCATCTGCATAGCTTGCAAGAAACTCCAATGATTTCTCGTCAAGGTAGACATCGCTGAACTTCTGCCATCTATCTGTAACAATTGCATATTTGTCTTCCTGTGTGGCAAAACAGATATATAAATGACTATCCATGTTAGTGAAGAAGAGGTATACGTATAAGTAGTATGCACCTTATCCATAACAGCTGAAATGCAAAACAGGAAACAGAAAACTGGTTAGAAAAACACCTTTTTCCTACAGCTTAGGTCCAATACAAGTCTTTGTTTCCCAACACTGCGTACAAGGCCCTCGAGTCTTTCAAGGTCAATCCTTCCATTGTTAAACACATACTGCAATACATCAACAGAAAATGTCATTAAGCCCAAAGTACACTTAATCTAAGGCCAATAAGAACACAATTTCCTATCCGAGAAAGTTCAAAAGAAACAGCAAGATAGGAATACCGAAGTGACAATGACATGGCTGGCTCCCTCCTCAATGTAATTCATGCAATTATCTGAATTGATTCCACCTCCAACTTGCAAACTGCCTAGAATTCATGTTCTTGTATCATATAACAGAGGCATTGCAAGAGAGTTTACATATCAATCAAATATATAACAAAAACTTACTTGTATCCATCGGAAATGAGCAAGTGCAAACTTACCAGGATAAACATGAAGGGCTGCAATTGCCGCAGCTTGGCTTAAAGGGTCGGCACCAAGCATAATGACATGGCCACCTGTAAGCCTGTCTTCCTTGTACATACGTGCATACTCCGCAGCAGATTTATCGGATTCAAAATTTGTGACAAGAACTGAACCATCTTCCTTCGAATCACGAAGAGTTGACCCAACAATCTGTTTCACTTTTCCCTTAAAAACAAAAATCGTTCTGTAAGTTACATGGCACGGATTTAACCGAAAAGAGAGTTTCACTTGTCACTGCAGTTTAAGACGATGTCAATGGAGCTGAACAAGAAGAAGAACGTCTGGGTTCAAATCCAAGACAACTCAATGCATTCCAAATCCACGGCATAGATCAACTTTCGTAAGAAATGTACATTTAACAAATCTAATTTCGGCATCACCCCGATTATCTTGAATGGCCCTCTTCATATTTGAAGTTGAATCCAAACAAGCACCATGAATTTGAGGAAATAACAAATGAACATCACATATTGGTACAACTAAACTCAGAATTCAAGCTTATAAACAAACACATTATTTCTTAAACTATGACTGACAATACCTTGTGAATGTCAATGCAAGGACGGAACTGAACAGCAGACATAATCTGCAGCCGAGAGGATCCTACAAGAAGAAGCCTCGGAATTTCACTACAAAGCTAAAAATTTAGCAGGTGCAAGAGCTGAAAACGAACAAATACATACGTTTGGTCGGGAAAGAAGACAAAGGTGGGGAGAATCTGAGAAGCGTCGGAGATGCACAAGACAAGGAGCTCAGGTTTCTCTGGAACCAAGTGACACCAGGCTTCGTGCATAATTGAGATCCCGAAGTTCTCATCTCTCGGTCGGAAAACGGATTGCCGGATACTGTCACCGGTTCAACGGTGGTCACGGCGGAGGGGCCAGTAGGGTTCAGTCAAACCTTTGTTGGGGTTGCATCAAGTTCGATTTCCTAATAGCATCAGAGGGTAATTTTGGGGTTTCAAGAAAGAACAAGGGCATTACAGTCAATTCATTCAAGTCATACAAGTATAATTGACGTTTGTTTTCTTTTTTTTTTTGGGTTGCAGAAGATGCGATGGAAGAAGAAGAACGTCATCAAGTTCATCTCGAGCTCGAAGGCTCATCTTCCGGCGGCTCTGACGCCGGCACCGACGCCGGAGAAAGTGTTTCTCCCGGTACCTCATCCGCCGAAGCAGCCGCCTTTGCCTCCGCCGCCGACTCTTTCTCTCTCTCCGTCTCTCCGCCACTCCCAATTCGTCACCTTCCTGGAGACCAACTTGCCTCACTACCAAACCCTAACTCCACAAAATCTGCTCATCTTTCTCCGGTCGAAGCTTCGCCATCACCCGCTCTTCGCGCATTATGACTTCGCCGTTTTCAATTGGGCTGCCACGCTCGACACCTTCCGGCATGATCACGACACTTTCCTCTGGATGGCGAGATCGCTCGCCGCGACGCAGCGTTTCGCCGATCTCGATCGCCTCCTCTCATTCATCGCCGCGAATCCGTGTCCATGTTCCTCAGGTATCTTTTCTTGTCCACATCTGGAACCGATATTCCGGTCAGCCATTGATGCTTGCTGTAGAGCTGGGAAAATGGATTCTGCGTTGTTAGCATTTGATACGATGAAGAGACTGATTGATGGGAAACCAAATGTTGGTGTTTACAACACTGTCATCAATGGATATGTGAAATGTGGAGACGTTGATAAGGCATTATGGTTTTATGAGCGGATGATGAAGGAGAGAGTGAAGCCTGATGTCTGCTCATTCAATACCTTGATCAATGGCCATTGCAGGAGTTCGAGGTTTGATATGGCCTTGGACTTGTTCAGGGAGATGAAGGCAAAAGGTTGCAACCCAAATGTGGTTAGTTTCAATACTCTGATCAGGGGTGTTTTGGGGAGGAACAAGATTGAGGAGGGGATCAAAATGGCGTATGAGATGATCGAACTAGGGTATAGATTCTCGGAGGCTACTTGCGAGATTCTCGTTGATGGGTTGTGTAGAAAAGGCCGTGCTGATGATGCTTCGGAATTGGTGATTGACTTTTCGAACAAAAGGGTTATTCCAAATGAGTTTGATTATGCCAGTCTCATCGAGAAACTCTGCAGAGATGACAAGGCAGATCGAGCAATGGAAATGATGGATAAGTTGTGGAAGAACGGTCACCTTCCAAGTTTAATCGCTTGTACCACTCTTGTCGAGGGTTTGAGGAAGTCGAAGAGAGCAGAAGCAGCGTCGACATTGACAGAGAGGATGCTGAAGGAGGGTATGTTGCCTGATACGTTGACCTTCAACCTGCTTCTTCAGGATCTTTGCAACATAAAAAGAACCGTCGATGCAAACAGAATGAGGGTGTTGGCATCGAGCAAGGGATTTGAACCAGATCATACGACATACTATGTTCTAGTTTCGGGTTTCAAAGAAGAGGGAAGAAGAAAGGAAGGGGAAGCCCTGGTGAATGAGATGTTGGATAAAGACATGTTACCTGATATTTTTACGTATAACAAGCTGATGGATGGTTTGTCCAACCACGGGAAACCGTCGAAGAAGCAAGTCTGGGATGGGAGCCGATGAGACCCCAAGTGAATCGGGCACAGTAGCCTGTCAGACCCGTGCTGCTTTTCTGGCTACCAGAGTGCTGTAAACAAAGGTAAGCTGTGTAAACTTACAGACCAAGAAGTTAGTACAAGTAACAGATAATGCAGTGTTGGTTGGGAGGAATAGACAGGAAGGACTCAATTTCTTGTGTTTGTGTTATCATAATGTGACTCAAAACATTATGCATTGATAGATTGGGTATACGGGTCGCATACCCAAGTTTTTTGGTGTACTCGATCCAGGTTTCATAGTCTCAAGGTTTCTTGGTCAAATTGTCCAATCTCGGTCTTGAGGGTTGAGTACTCGAATTTCGGATATGATGCAGTAAAACCGATAAGGGCAAGGGGGCAAGGTAAAAGGGCAAATCTAAGGGAACCAAGGTGAGAGAACGAGCCGGGGAAAGCAAGATAGACAAATGCCGAGAGAGCGAGTGAGGGTCCGAGGAGGGCAAGGCAAGAATATATCTGGCCAAAGGAGTGAAGGACGAGACGAGAACGAATCAAACTCCCTAAATCAAAGAGAAAACCATCCCGCCCTCGCCCTTGGCGCACTCATGTCACATATCCTCATCCTCTTACCCTCCCGTGATGACCTCACTTCACCCTCACTCCCTTGACCCGAGTTACCCATGGGTACGAATATCTTGAACTTGAACTTCGCCTTATCCCAATCGACCGCATGAATTCTTCATTCATTTTGCTCGTTGTCTTGAAGTGTGAATTCATTCCACAGGTACGATTAATAATTGGTTAAAATATGAATCCAAATCTAAATCCAAAGTCAGATATTCATAACCGCCAAAATTTCAAATATTCGATTCACAAGTCAGACGAATACTCGAATGTCGAGTATCATGCTTAATCCTAGTCCTTGATATCAAGTAACATAGCTTTTGCAATTGACCAGATACAATTTGAGCTCGAAACCAAAGCTTGTGATAGAAAATAGCACATAACAGAAAGAAACACATGCCAAGTGCTTTGGGGGTTCCATTGTAAGTTTGTTTGGAAGTAGTATGACAACATATAAAAGAAAGTGAAGTGAACAATGCCAAAAATTTCAATTAAACAGAACCAAGCTCAGGTGATGAAGTGAAGGATCATCCGAACAATTATTTGCAACAAAAAGAAATTTGAAGAGTGGGCTATAACACAGAAGCTCCATTACTTGTTCTTTTGGGACTAGAGATTCGAAAGAGTAGTGGCTGAAGTAGATATCTCTCATTCTTCCGTCGGCCTCTGCCCTAACACGGGTATGTCTTCGTATCGTTTCTGCAGAGTAACGAAAAATATCATATTGTGAATCTATGATACAGGTACAGCTATTAAGCATGTAAAACATTCAAGTTTTGAAAACATGTCGATAAGGGAATTTTTGCTCTACTTAGAACCTCATTCTACGTTATGGTAAACCATGGCAAAGAGAACACTGCAGTACTAGACGAATATAGCTCTCCAGCTAAGCTAAGAAGGAGAATAAGTAATAAGTATGTACGAGTTGGTAAGAATTTACCATGTTCCCTTCCCCGAACAAACTTAAACATAGATTCAAGAAAGTTGTGAGCTACACCGAGATCAACCTCTAATCAAGACCAATGAAAAAGACAATGAAGAAAACGACGGTATCTATGCTCAAGTTCCTCAGGCTACAGATCTTAAATATAAATCAAGGCAACTGCACAGATTGGACTGCAAGATTTCTCTGCTTCTAACAAACAAGAGAACGCATTCTTCGATTTCAGAATAGTTCATGATCAAGATAATGGGAATTTCACTCCTTTGCTCTACATAACCACAAAATCTAGAACAATTCTGCATTCGGTGATTTCAGTCGTATGATACTGGTTTTAGATATAGGAAATGCCATGGAGAGGGTAAAAAAAAGAATACCATACCCCAACATTGTTCGATTCCCAGAGCTTATGAACACCGTAATCCACAGCCTGCACACATAGGATTTACATTTCATGTAAACATGGATCCTTCGTCCTTCATAGTAATTTCTGAAACAAATTCAGTATCGCATGAAAGCATCATGATCATGAAAATGATCCTATGCATCTACAAAACTGCCATCAAGTATCATCTACACCAATGTTCTGGGTCTGAAAAGCCCAGAAGATCCTAACCCCACAAGTATTTTCTGATCAAGTGCTCAATTTCCCTAAAAATCAGATTCCTACTCGAGAGAAACTTAAAGGAATTAACCTAATCGAATCAACGACAAACAAAATTTCTTAACCTTGTCTGTCATCGCTACTAAGAATTCATGAATCCGTCAACATATACCATTCCTATCAACCACACGGAATCAGATCCGAAAACAGAGGAATAGGTAAGCGAAATCAAACAAATTAAAAAAACAAAGAATCTAACCCGTTCGCCGAAGAAAGCGCCAGCGATGATGAAGGTGACGTAGACAGAGTTGCGGCGCATGATAAATCTGTAAAGACCTTCGAAGGGGCCTCTCTGATTCCTCCGAGCTGCATACTCCATGGCTAGCGGCTGAGGTGGTATCTGATCTCTGAATCGGCGATTAGGGTTCGAAGCAATCTCCGTGTCGCGAGAGAACTAAATGGCGATGAGAACCTGCCGACGAACGCAGACTTGACACCATCTCTCTCTCGATCGAGGGAGAGAGAAACAATGGGCCTAATTAGTGGGCCCAATAGCCCACTATGAACATCTAAGCGTTTTACATTTCTGAGGGAACACGCCATATCGTTCAATATTTGGGCCTAAAGTAGCCGTTGAAAGCCCATTGCTACTTTTCTTGTGGACAGTGATATTATCAAAAATATCTTTATTCTGCTATTTTTTTTAATTTATGATGTTTTAATCAAATGATTAGTAAGATATATAAAGTATGAATATAATGAATTAGGGTTAATCCCATAAATATTTCCGTTCAAATCTGGAAACTAATTCCCCAACTTGTACACTTCCATAATAAATACCCAACTTGATAAATTTGACACAAAAATATCAGAACTTGTAAAACGTTGCCAAAAAAATTATTGACTAACGTTGACTAGAAATGCCGTTAAGAGAAGATGATGCGGTACACGTAAGCAGACCTGTAAAACATTTTGCCATGTCAATAAAAGCATGCAAATTAATTTGACCGATTTAATCGGTTATACCGGACCAACCAATTGGTTCAATAAAAAAAATCTGATGTTTCTTTATTTACCCTCGATTTCGATATTTAAAAACCCTAACTCTCATTTCTTTACCCTTCTTTTTCGGCTGTCTTCTTTTATGTTCGTTGTCGGCATCATCATTTTACGAGGACTTTGGAAAATTTGATAGGGGTACTAATACTTTCTGTATTGATTTTCATTTCATCATCGTATTTTCTGACTTCAACTTCTTCTTCGCTTCTCCTTTAATCTTCTGAAATTGTCTCTCTGTATATCTATTTTTATAGGCACAAGGAGAATCCAATAGCATCAATCCATGTAAAAGGAATAAAACAATATATCAAACGCAGAATACAACATCACAAACTAGCTTTACCAAAAAAAAAATCACAAACCAACAATAATGCAATTTGACTTCACAAAGTATTACATAAAATAAGTTCAAGTTTGGAAAAAAAAAAGATGTCTGGATCAAAATATAGTTTCTTATTCAATAATGGAGAAGAAGAGTAGAGAAATGAAGGTAAAGGTTTTTATTCAACCAAAAAAAAGGTTGAAGGTTTCTAAATGTCGAGATCGAATGAGAAATAGGGGAAAAAAGATGTTTGTTTTATTGAACTGATTGGCCTGTCCGGTATAACCGGTTTAATCGGTCGAAATTAATTTTCATATTTTTGCTGATATGGCAAAATGTTTGACATGCTTGTGTATCACCACATCATCTTCTCTTAATAATATTTCTAGTCAACGTTAGTCAATAAATTTTTTGACAATGTTTTACAAGTTCTGGTATTTTTATGTCAAATTTATCAAGTTGAGTATTTATTATGAAAGTGTACAAGTTGAGGAATTAGTTTTCCAGATTTGAACAAGTCTGAGAATATTTATGGGATTAACCCTAATGAATTAGTGATCATAAATTTAACGTTATAATCAATACAATTAAAATGTAACCACACTATATTTTAGATTACATGGATCACATGGTCACAACTGGAGAAAGATATGTGTTGAAGAAAAAATAGCAAAATAAGAGTATTTTTTAGGGAAAATTTGCACTAGTATCCAAAAACGTCACGTCATTAGAAATCTATACCTTTTTTCCTTCCTTTGCAAACTATACCTTTTTATAATTTTTTTGACAAAAATACATTTACTTTATTGTATAATTTCAATGTTGCCATTATTCAAAAAAATTACAGCATAAAAAATATATTTTATTCAGAAACTATGTTATCTCGGAAAACTGTTTTTTTCATCCGGAATAATTATTTTTTATCTCTGAGAATCTGTTTTTATTTGGTTTAATTATTTTTGTATACAAAAAAAATAATTTTTTTATCAATAAGAACTGTTTCTCGTCCGAAAAAATTATTTTTTCATTCGGGAAAGATTTTTTTTATTCGAAAAAAATGTTTTTTTATCTGAAAAAGTTTATTTTCGTTTGGAAGAATACTTTTTTTTAAGAAAATTGTTTTTATAGGAAAAAAAAATGTTTTTTATATAAAAAAATAATTTTTTTTATACGTGAGAACTATTTTTTATTCGGACAAAAAACGTACAATCCCGAACGAAAAACAACTCCCTCGAAAAAAATTGTTCTTCCGGACAAAAAAACAAACTTTTCCGAACGAAAAACAGATTTTTCCGGACAAAAAACAGTTCTCCCGGACAAAAAAAAAATTCTCTCGGATAAAAACAAACTCTCACGAACAAAAAAAATTCTCCCGGACAAAAAAAATTTTCCGGACAAAAAACAGTTCTTCCGGACAAAAAACAGTTCTTCCGGACAAAAAACAGTTCTCTCAGATAAAAACAGTCTCTCCCGGATGAAAAACAGCTTTCCCGGATTACACGGTTTCCAAAAAAATTTGCTTTTTATATTAGACATTTATTGGGACGCTAAATGACAATATTGAAATTATATAATAAAGTAAGGGTAATTTTGTCAAAAATTTATAAAAATGTATAGTTTGCAAAAGTCATAACTATTTTGTCATATTTTGCAAAACACTACATCTTTTTGTCACACTTAACTAATAACCCCACTATATTTTAGATTACATGGATCACATGGTCACAGCTGGAGAAAGATATGTGTTGAAAAAAAAATAGCAAAATAAGAGTATTTTTTATATAATGTCCATTTTATGATGTCTCACTATTTTTACGGATGAATCAAATAAAGATTTGGGACTAGAAAATCGTTAGAACAAATCCGCATACTCATCCGTATTAATATATTTACGAAAATTTTAAAAATATATTTATAAACATAAAAATTATATATATATATATATATATATCATGTTGTTTACGTAATAATTTCTACTATAGAGAGTCTCAACGACGGAATGAGAATTGTTCGGTTTTGAAAATACAGTTTGATTAATGATTCGACGGTTTCTCCAACAAATTTACAAAAGCTCAAGCGGATTGATGAATTTTCCGAGAACCATTTTGCTACATTTCACATACCATACCATCTTCATACATGTTTTTTTTTATTCATGTTTATTCGCAGAATCTAAGGACCAACTACGTCCATCATCAAGCAAATTTTTTTTTTATCGCAATTAAATTGCATCATTTTTTTCCGATCTGTTGCTCGAACATGAGATTTATGGGTCATTTCTCCCCGACCGGTTGCTCGAATATGAGATTTTTGGGACAGGTGGCACCCCAACCACACCCTACAACCAAATGTACAACCTCAACCGTGGCCTTTTGGGTATCTTTCATACATGTTTCGAGTACATTTCGATTCATGATCCTACTCATATTGAATTCGAATATTAATTTTCTAGGAAATTAGGCTATGAATCGGTCAAAAATGGATCTTCTCTCTTCAATAGTTCATAACCATCTTTGTGCACAAAACGATATATAGAATGATCGGCATACATATGTCCATTTCTAGGTAAAGTTCGTGGAATCCAACGTCCGAGAATATACTCATCGACCTACGGATCATCATGTGATAGATACAAAACAAGATCCAAAAGAACACATATTATACACCCTAGAAGAATGTATGCGTTGTAAAACAAGAAATAACTCTCTATCTCTATATATATATATGCAAAAAGAATATTCCATAAAACCATATATAAAATCAATCATTAGAGATTGTTGGACCGACCATGCGGGGGGGAAACAAATCGATATAACTCGAAGATTCAGCACAAGAATTGAAGTGAACAAACTTGCATTTTGCTAAATATCAGTGTGTCCATCCATGGAGTAAATCAATCATCTATGCAACAGAAGCACAAATCCATGGAAGATTCCAATAAATGGTACGTCTTATTTTTGAAAGAAAAAAAGACAGAACACATACAATTACATATATATGTGTGTGTATGTTTAATTAACGTAAGATCAAGCACCGATTCTGGAGGGGTAAGCCACCATTCGAAGAAGCTCGACGAGCTTCTTCGACCAGAGCAGAACGAGCCGAGGAGATTCCGGTGGGGACCAGACAAGAATCGAAGGTGGAACAATCGATCCAGTCTTTGAGGAACTCTTCCTGTCCCCATATCTCTGGAATCCAAACCCTACCTGCAACTTGTCTCCTGTGCCTGTTCAGCTTCTCCCTCCCATTAATGTCGTCCTCACCATGTTCCTCTCCGTCTTCATGTTCTTGCTCGTGTTTTCCTTGCTCTTCTTGCCCTTCTTCTCGCTGTTGCTGCTCTTTCTGTTTCTTGTCCGAATCCGAAGCCTCAAACGGCAATATTACTTGCTCCTGGCTCTGCTCACGAGCCGATGATGACGAGGTAATGTTGATCTTGCCGTTTGCTTTGTCAGATTCCATCAATGGAGGCTGGCGATGGTGATGAAGAAGTGGGTTTCGATGGGGCTGAGAAGAAGTGTCGGTGGGGGTGTTCATGGAGGTTGTAACAATGGCGGATTCAATGAGAGAAGTGAATTCTTGTTCTGTCTTTTTTGTGGGTTTTGCGTGAGGAAGTGAAAGGAGGAGGAAATTTGAGTGGGGGTTTAAGTTTACACGTCGACCAAAGCGATGTTTTTTTTCGGTGCTTCCTCCTCCTCTCTGTTTTGTATGGTAAGTGACAAGTTTACGTGTCTTGTCTTCTTGATTAGACTCCTCCTACCTCTTCCATTTTTTTTTTCATTTTTCCGTTGGGGAAAATATAAAATAAAATAAATGCCAAGATAAAAAAAAAATGTGATGTAATAAAAATATTTTTGACGAATTTAGTGGTTTATTTGTAGTTAATTTCAGTATTTATTTGAGATGATTAGAACTCTGCAATATATGTAAATTTTATTTTTTTTTAAAGTACTTTTCTACTACGCAAATATGCCTTGGAGTATCTATTCTATTCAAATTTAATGAATTCTGGTGTAATTAAAAATAAATAAATAGCTCAAAATACGAATTTATAGATTGAAATATAAAAATGTTCTCTCCATCTTGTGAGGATGATGTTGATTCAGAGAGGGCTTCGGATTTTATGATTTCGACCAATAAGAATGAGCGATTTGATTGGACAGGGAGGTTTGGTGGGCTTCCTTGGATTAACAGATTCTCTAAAAGATATTCACTGTATGTACGTACGTATATACGTATGTATACTTTTAAAGGTGCACAAAAAAGTTTCAGAAATTAGCCTAAAAATAGTTAAATTTTGAAAATTGTTTTTTTATTTTATCATGGATTTAATTAATTACGCAAGATAAACCTGTAAGCATGGGAAAACATAATCCCACGTTAATTACACATGATAAATAGGAAAATAAAATAACAGATATACTTGGACGCACTTTGAACACATTGAAAAATGGGCATATAGAAATAACATTTGGCAATAGAGATTATTCAATTTTAGATGCATGTAACCAAAATCAAAATGCCTCTTGGAAATTCACAGAGCTGAGAATATTTCCATTTTCATTCAAATTCAACCGAAATACTAAAGCAAAGCTCTCATAAATCACAAGACAAGTCACTATAATCACATTAAACCATTCTAAATAACCTATTTAAGGAACCACCATAAGCATCTCTCTCTCTCTCTATATATATATATCAAGACAGATCTTGTTCTTAACATCATATGTCTCTTACCTTAAGAACTGCTAAGGTTTCCGTTGTGTAGAAGCAGAAGAAAACGTGAACCGGCGTTGGCAGTTTAGAGGAGAGGGTAACGAGAGCGGCCTTTCTTCTTCAGAAACTCGGGGATTTCCACCGCGCTGCCTTCCCTGAAGGAGGATGAGGGTCGCCTTGTAATCTCCCCTTGTGCTGGCTGATTCCCCTGCATTTTTCACAGAGCGAGAGAGAGAGAGAGAGAGAGAGAGAAGAAAAAGCTTAAGGCAAACGAAAACAGGAGACGGGTATGCGGAAAAGAATCTCGAAATAGGAGACGTTTACTTGAATTGTGTTGTGTTTGTGTGTATAATTTTTTTGAGTTATACCCTTATATAGCTCGGGAATCAGAGTGTATATATGTCTGGTGAAAGCATGTGTGTGGGATTGGAGACAAGAGAATACCTGGACCGTCCGCCCTTCTGTCTCTTCCTGGCGTTTGAAACCCGTGGCTATGAGGGTTATACTTACCTGATACGAACAAAAACAAACAGTTTTTTCCATGGCTTGAGCATTGGTATTCTATTTCTGAGGTCATATATCGGCAGAAAGACAGAGGAAGATAACTCACTTGACCGCTGAGGGATGGATCTATGACAGCACCGAATATGAGATTAGCGGTAGGATCAACAAGATCGTATATAACTTCCGCAGCAGCATTTACCTACCAGAACATTCCCCAGAACCCGAAGCACATGAGAGAATATAACGTTAAGACAGTCTAAACAACGGGTCTGAAGCAAAGATGGGCCCTGGCTTTGCATTGTCTGAAGTAAAAACCAAGTGGTTTCTACATCCTGTTAGTGCATTTCCTGAGAGTTTACAATTCTTGGTTATCAATGTAGAGAGGGAGAGGAAAAAACCTCAAACAGTGTCAAATCACTTCCACCGGTAATGTTCCAGACAATTCCAGTAGCTCTCTCGATGCCAATATCCAATAACGGTGACTGGATTGCATTCAGCGCAGCATCTCTTGCTCGGGTCTTTCCTGCTCAAACAAAAGTATGGAAAATTTCAATGTGATAATCACTAGTTTGTTTCTTCTACCACCCACAGAGATGTCAGAGATAGCATCTTGTACCAAATCTTACAAGCACATTAGTTAGATTGTCTACTCAGCTATATCTATGATACCGAATCCCTATTATTTCTTTACCAGTTGCACACAGATGCTTGCATCTCTGGGCAAGAGCCTGATTCATTGTCACCCAATATTAATTCAGGATTTCCTAAAATTCAGGTGTCATTCTTAATGTTACCCGAATTACCAGCACCACCTTTTTGTGTTAGGCAATCATACTGCATAAAGACACTGATTATGCTAAATTTACAAAGCATCCGTTTCACTCTTACCAGTCGCAGTTCCTATTCCCATCAATGAAGAGCCAGCATTTGCCATGATAGCCCTCACATCGGCGAAATCCACATTGACCAGTCCAGGAATCTGCAGACAAAAAAGCACACACCTTGTAAGCATTTGCCATATATACAAGGTCACCAAAGGATGTTCATTTGCATTCAATACCGTAATGATATCAGAAATTCCACGAACACCCTGACGGAGAATATCATCAGCTAAGTTAAATGCTTCGGTTACAGGAGTAGACTGAGAGACTGCTGTAAGTAATTTGTCATTTGGAATGACGATGAGGGTATCAACGTTATCTCTGAGAGATGCGATTCCTTCCTGAGCCTGCAATGCTCTTCTCCGTCCCTCAAAAGAGAAAGGTGTTGTGACAATACCAACCGTCAATATACCCATCGCCTTGGCCACCCCTGCAATTATAGGAGCCCCACCAGTGCCAGTTCCACCGCCCATTCCAGCCTATAAATACAAGAAGACATTTGGCTGGCAATGCTTAAGCAGTGACAACAATACTAATTTCACCAATGCTAGAAGGGCTAGTTTTAAAAATAAAACTCTGGATGGAGCAGAAGCTAAGAACTGTGTAATTTCTGTGTCATTTGCAATGAACGGTGTAGTTTCTTTATATCTTGAGAGTAAACCTCATTACTTTTACCAGAAGCCAAGAAAGAACTGCCACGATGAAAGAGAAACTGAAATGGTTTGAGTGAAGATTGCAAAACTCATGTTTGATCCTCAAAACTTATCTTTATCATCAGTAGCAAGAGCGTCAATGTTTCACAAAGCAAAAGAGATATATTCAGAGAAAAGCCAATAACTAGTGATAATCGAATGTAATAAAAGAAATGAATTGATTTGAGGACATACTGTGACAAAAACCATATCTGAGCCATAAAGCGCCTCTTCGATGGATTCTTTGCTTTCTTTGGCAGCATTCATTCCAATCTCTGGATTTCCACCAGCACCTAAACCTCTAGTCAACTCCTTACCGATCTGTAACCTGTTCTCCGGGAAAACAGGCGACATTCTCATTGCCTGAATATCTGTATTCACAATCCAGAATTCAACACCTTTCATTTCGCTCTCTATCATACGATTCACGGCATTTGACCCACCACCTCCAACCCCAATGACCTTTATCCTTGCCTCATTGAAACTGCTTGGAGTAGACGATTCTCTGAAGTCCTCAGTAATGGGTCCACCATAAGTCTCCTTTCTTGGATCGGTCACCATATTGTTCCCTTCGCCTCCTTTAAGCATCGATATTTCTGGGTGAAGGTTCAAGAAAGGATCTTGGCTTTGTAAATGGCTTGGACTATGAGAGTTTGAATTGCTTCTCATAGGTGAAGAATCAGATTTATGGGCTGCACTAACACGAGTCTTCTTGCTCTCGAACATTCTAAGGCAGCTAGTCCTGCCCAAATGATTCTCCGGCAGTACATTCTTCTTTAGAAGAGTGAGCACCCGAGAATCCGAAGGAGTAAAACAGGGAGAAACGTAGGTCGCCATTATAAACAACAACCCAAAACCCTAAACCCAGAAGGTGTAGTAAATTCCAACTCCCACAGCCTCTTATGCATACAAGACAAGATCTGTTTATCACAGAAGGTGAAGTCAATGAGAGATCATTAACCAGTTGCAATCACCAAAACACTGCCCAAATCAGACAAATACCAATCATACAAGAGATTATGGAATGAAACCTCAAAGCGACGGCGTGCATATATGACAATCAACAACAACATTGATATCGACATCCTTAATACAAAGTAACCTAAACCCACTTCTACTTGGTTCTGATTCAACATTAGAGGCCAAGAGAACTCGACAAACACAAACCATCGGTTCATCAATATCTGATATAGCAACCGATTGCAGGAAAATCACAGCCTTCGATGAAAACAAAGCAAAAACCAGAAGCATATACACTAAGCATAATGCTACAATCACAAACTGGAAACTCCCGAAGATCACGAATCGTCCATCGAGTTTCAAATTTAAAGGAAAACGCCCTCGCAGCTTTAAAATGGATAATAACAACATCTCCTCCTGAACCACCGAAAGATTCACGAAACGGATTCCAAATTTTGCAGCATTACATAAGAGGAAATTTAAAACAAAAAACAACCCCAGAAAAAAACAATCAAAATATGCAATTCAAAAGCTTAAAATTCCATCCAAAAATAGAATCAGGAGATATTGCGGCTGAATTACATTTGCACGAACCAGGACCACAACAGAGAGAGAGAGAGAGAGAGACAATGAGAGAGAGAGAAAGAGAGAGAGAGGGAGAGGGAGAGAGAACCTGGAGAGTAGCAGAGTTGAAGAACCAGAAGAAGTGACTCAGAAGCAAAAAGATGACGAGAAATGAATACCCAGAAATGGAGGGTTTTGGTGTTCTCTCTCTCAGAAGAAGCTTTTGCTCTCATTCTCTATCTCTTTCAGTAATTATGTTTTACTGCGTCTATTTCAGTAACTATAGTCGTTAGTTAGTAAATTTAATAAAAAAATAAATAAATAGAAACGAACGAAGAAAATCTGGGGAGCCAATGAGGTAATGATTTTGTTGAAATAGGGGCAAGACGGATACATGGGCCTCATGGGCCTACTGGGCTTTCAACCAATTTTTTCAATCTCCGTGATAGGTTTCCTTTTTTTTCACCTTGCTGTGATTGTTTTTAGAAAATTTGTAAAATTTGTTTCTTTGCAACTTTTAATTAGTACAAATGTATATTTTAATTTATTTTTTTAATATTGGTATGCTTTTTTAGAAAATGGTATAATTTTACATAAATTTTAAAATTTTATATATTGTTTTAAAATTTAGTGCCATCCGCATTCTACTTTTTATTTAATTGTATAAAAATTCATTTCCATTCGTTTTTGTTTCATTTACTTTGCTTTAATATTAGTTTATAAAAAATCTTACTCGATCAAATTAAATTTTAAATAGTAATTTGTTAATATTTGTGTAGATAATATTATTCATCGCATTCCTAAATACCCAAATCAAACTAAGTTTTTAAATATTTTTTATTTAAAAACATGTTTTCAATTTCAATTTAATACAGTATCACGTTTTAAACCTTTAATAAATGCCGCCCAAAATACTTGAACGCGGCATTGAAAAAAGTTGAAATACATAATTAATGACACTATACGTTGAACCTTTTTATTTGTGTTTATTCCGTCTAATCTAAGACGAATTTGAATTATCAAATACTAATCTAATTTCGTGTGAATTTTGATACGTAATTCAATTTCAATTATTATCAAAAAAAAATTGAGTCCGTTTTAGAATTATGTTCTCAAACCTAATGAGCAATGAGAATTCTGTATATGCTCCAATTTTGTTCATAAAAAATATGCCATTAAACATGTATACGATCTAAAAAATAATGATAATATACGTATATAGATAATATGAGAACAAATTTTCGGTTTATTTCCAGTTGGAATTTAAATCGTTATTATTCATGTATTTATATATATATATATATATTATTCATCTAACATGAGACAATATATATTCATGGACCACGGAAAAATCCCACCTCTTTACGATTCAAGAAACATCACACAGACAGAATATCACAAAGGACCAAATCAAAGGCGAAAACTTTCCTCCTCCTCCATGTTTGAATAATCTCTCTCTCTCTCTCTCTCTCTCTCTCGCCCGCTTCTTCTTCATCTTCATCTGTCTCTCTGTTAAGGTTTTTTCTACAGGGGACAACTCGAGTTCCTCCTCAGTGTCCGCAATCTTCCAGCCGCTTTCTGTGATTTCGAAAGCGTTTCCGTCTCCATGGCCTCCGAATACTGCGAAAACCGATAAAACGAACGACCGTTTATACATACAAAAGAACGTCCGAAACATTCGAAAGGATCGAAGATTGTCACGAAATCTTTACCTGTTGCTTCATTTTCCCCTCGAGCTCCACCTGAATCCGTCCATAACCACGAAAAAGATCGAGATCTTTTAGAGCTATCGTAACGAAAATCGGAACTTTAACGAGCGACGATGAAACGACGGTTTCGAAAGGGTTCGATCCGTTACCAATGCGTGTTTCAGCTGAGCGTTCTCTTCTTTCAGTTGGTTCAGCTCTGCTTCCAGTTCGACTGTATAAGCCTTCAAACAACCGGAAAAGAAAAAACGAACGATCTCTCGGATATTATGTTACCGTTGGCTTTGAGAAACGAGGAAAGATCCTCGGGAAAAACGATATCTAACCTGCTTTCGTGCCCGGGATCTTGCGGCGGACTCGCGGTTCTTGATCATCCTCCTCTGCCTCCTCTCGACGACCTTCTCCACGGGCCCGTCTACTATCCTTTTCCGTCCCCTTAGAGGGCTCATATCGACCCCGAACTGATTTCCCATGTTATCAACTTGCCCGTGTCCTAACCCGTCTGATGAGATCGGGCTAAGTGGCCCCACCGTAGCCACCTGCTGACCAGGAACATACCCGCCTGCCCCGCCGCCGCCACTCGTCGCTGTCGGTACTCTACCACCGTAGCAAACACCTGGCTGAGTTGGCATCGCCTGCGGGTACCCTCCTCCTGTTTTTTTTTCATTGTTCATGAAACCTGACGAATCAACTCCCGCCATGGATTGGCCCGGGAAGCTTGGGCCACCGCCGCCGCTTTGGAACACAGCATAGTTCTGTTGCTGTGCCGGTGTGACAGAATTCTGGTTCGGGTTCGGGTTCGAGTTCGGGTCAGCTGGTTGTTCCCTTACCACCCCTGCCTTGATCAAAAAATCCTCGAGCGTCATCTCGCCGAAGGTCGCTTGCCTCGCTGCATTTTCGGGGTTCTGCATACAGTTTTCGTTGTTTCCATTGTTATTATCGAGCTGCCCTCGATGTATCTCGGACCAAACCTCATCCACCGTTTTCCTGCAGAGCGGAGCAGGAACCGTCAAAGAGCCTTGACGTTGTAAGCTCGGCTGCTTCGCTATTATAGCTCTCTTCCCGTTGTGATGTTATCTCTGGGCATCTCGGCGTGTCAGGTCTAAGGATTCGACACGTGTAATATTCTCACGCACGTACAGAGTACGTATAGAGGGAGAGAGACCGTTGGCTTAATTAAATTTATCTTGTAATTCTATTTCCCCCCGGAAATTTTATACATTTTTAATATGCGTGCTTAGAAGTTCAGATTTTGGTTTATGTAAAATAGAGAGGCGGGTATAATTACAATACACAAATACATACATATATATATACACACATATCTTTGTCTGATTCGGACGACAAAGCCAAGGTCGGAATTCTTGATAGTGAGTTACATTGGTAGTTTGAATTTTCGTCGGTCACTTTTTATTTATTTATATGTATATGTGTGTATATTAATATTATGTTGATTGAATTCGTTTCAGTTATAACTTCTCCACCAACTTTATTCTTTCTACAATAAACAAATTAATGGTGGAAAAAAAAACAAGTTATTAAGTTTTTTTTTCTTTTTTGGGCAACAATATTTGATATCTTTTAATTGTGGCCAAATAGATTCCTCGCCATATGGAAGACATTAAATGCAGTTAAAATAAAACTCACAGAGGCGGCGGCCACTTGCTGATTCTCCTCCGCGTTCCAGACGGAAACAAGAAACTCGTCCATGTTCATCGACCCGAAATTCCTGCCACCCTCGCAGAGGGAGTGCTGGAACTCGTCGAGAGTCAGCGAGTAGATCGACGACTGTCTTCCCAACAACGGAAACACGTGGCTATCCACCGCTCCCGCCGCTCTGCTGCCCGATGAAACCCCATGTTTCGGGTGTTGATGCTCGGTTTTTGTCGCGGATTCGACCTCGCGGCGAGGCATCATATCTGTTTCCGGAACTACCATCTCCTTGATTCACAATATCGAACTCGATTTAACTATATGAACTGAAATACAACAACTGAGAACATAAGCTCTATAACATTACCGGTCGGAACAATCATAGCATCTTGATTCTTATCCTAAAGCGAGGGCTTTTGTCTTTGGCCTTCGCATAATCTACGTGGTCAACCTTTTACTATATGACTGTCGTTATCCACTTGATAATATGTTTTAATAATTAAACACATCAATATCAATCATGCAGATACAAATTACATAAAGATAAAAACAAGTGGATATTGGATAGGATATAATTTTATTTAAATCAATTAGTATGTTAATAATTGGATAAATTGCTGGATACAATTAATTCTTTATGAAAATCGAATTTAATGTTGAAATTGATCGACATAAATTTTTTACAAACCAAATTAGAAGATTTTGAACCCAACCAAACCAACAAATAACCGGAAAATATGATAATAATAATAGAAAAAAATCAAACTAAAATCGAAAGTCTTTATCAAAACAAATATATAATTTTCCAAAAACACGAAGTCTACTTTACAAAAAAAAATCACAAATCACGAAATCTAACAAGAAAACAGCCAAAGTAAAAAGGCGTATTACTGTAAAAAGCACAGTAAATTTACACGAGACGTGATTTATTCGATGTATATCTTCATCAATATCCCAATGGTCTCTACGTCGGCCCATGTGAAAAAGAAAGGAGAACGGTCCACATCATGAACAGCGACTAACGATAATATTATAATGATAAATAATTAAATAATTAAATAAAAATTTTAATGTCCAAAATAGGAAATTTCTTATCCTCAAATTGGTTCGCAAGTCGAGGTTTTCGTGACAAAACCTCCCTACCAAGACATTTATTATTATCATTATTATTACTATACTCTTTCATATTTTTATTACATATTACTTGATTCATAAGAGTGTGTATTTTGGACCGACCTTCACTATGCTACTAATACAATCTTTTTTTTTTCAAACTATTATTTTAAATCCTAAACTGTTTGATATTCCTCGTGTCCGTATATTCCAAGGTATCATTTTTAATGTTTGGGAATTGGTAATCCTAATTAACACATAAAAACGTATCCTAGACACCAAAAAATAAACAAAACGTTTAAACCCTTGAGCAGTATTATGTTTACTAATTAGTAATTACTAATCCTAAATTCCTAATCAAGCCATAAAATCATATCTTAATCACCCGAAAAACGGTAAACGTTGAAACCCTTGAACACTCTTATATTTAGCTAAATATAAAATAAAATACTCGAACAAATCTGAATTTAAAAAAAAAACACTTAAGATCTCATCAAACACTTCGACCAAAAAACAAACATAGAGCGAGGAAAAAAAAGAACCTGCATATCTCTCTATGCTTCCCCGCCGCCGGAGAGATCTGGAGAAAACCCACCGGAAAATATGAAAACACCCTTTTCCGGTCACGCTCCGATCTTCGCAAAACCTTCGAATCACACAACCCCTAGAAAACCCCAACAATCGCAAACCCCAGAAATCGAAAATTTCACCAGAAATTTCGTAGTTTCTTCGATTTTTGTTTCTGGGTTTGGAGAGATTATGATGTTTTTAGAGGGAACTGGTGGGGAAGGAGGAGGGGTTTGTGTATTTATGTTGAACCCGGCGGAAAACGGTGGCGCGTGGGACCCACGCACGTGAGGTCAAGAAGTGTGAATTTTCAAAGTTATCTTTTAAGCCAATGAAATTAAAGCAAAACCCAGTTCCAGGGCCAGGTCCAGGCCCATTATCATTTCGCCAAGATTCACTACGTCTTCTTCCGACACGTGCCTTCCACGTGTTATCTCTGGGCATCTCGGCGTGTCAGGTCTAAGGATTCGACACGTGTAATATTCTCACGCACGTACAGAGTACGTATAGAGGGAGAGAGACCGTTGGCTTAATTAAATTTATCTTGTAATTCTATTTCCCCCCGGAAATTTTATACATTTTTAATATGCGTGCTTAGAAGTTCAGATTTTGGTTTATGTAAAATAGAGAGGCGGGTATAATTACAATACACAAATACATACATATATATATACACACATATCTTTGTCTGATTCGGACGACAAAGCCAAGGTCGGAATTCTTGATAGTGAGTTACATTGGTAGTTTGAATTTTCGTCGGTCACTTTTTATTTATTTATATGTATATGTGTGTATATTAATATTATGTTGATTGAATTCGTTTCAGTTATAACTTCTCCACCAACTTTATTCTTTCTACAATAAACAAATTAATGGTGGAAAAAAAAACAAGTTATTAAGTTTTTTTTTCTTTTTTGGGCAACAATATTTGATATCTTTTAATTGTGGCCAAATAGATTCCTCGCCATATGGAAGACATTAAATGCAGTTAAAATAAAACTGGATGGAGGTTGTTGGATATGTTATTAACACGTGATGCATGGAATCGAAATATTGAAGCTTCTATAAATGAAAAGTAAATTATATAAACAATTTGTTTATGATATAGAGATTAATAGAGTATCGAAATGATTTGATAATAATTGGTAAAATAAGATAGTAAACGTATTAAATTATATAAAATATTGATGATTGGTGGTATTTTAAGAGTGTGGATTACAAATAAATGATAGTTGAAGACACAATATCGAACACACTATTTTCTCTCGTAATCGATGCAATAAAAGAAAAACAGGAAGGTTGGCGTTACAACGTCGTCGTTTCAAGAGATTAAGGCTTTGTAAAGAAATTTTCTCTCTGTGTGCGTACGTATGCATGCATGCATTCATGTATGTATGTATGTATATATGTAGTACGTATGTATATATGTACAGTAGCGGACCTACACCAAATTTTAATTGGTGCATAGATATATAATAATGTATATATATACCCAATAAAAAAAAGAAATGGCATGAAAAAATCAATTATACAAAGACATATTTTTAACAGCAATGGGGTACGTACCCCCATTGGTCATAACGTGGATCCGCCACTGTGTATGTATGTATGTATCATGTATGTATGTATGTATGTATGTGCTTCACTATAATTAATCCGACAAATTAATGTTCGCTTCGATTCGTATATTCGTATTAATTAGAAGTTTTGCCATGGTTGACTATTTAATGTCCAAATTTTGTATTTCTTCGTCCTTGCTAGATTATCATTAGTTTGAATTCTCCCGAAAGTTAATTGCCGATTCGGATCACTAGTTTCTCATAACACACATAAAATATAATCATATTTTTATATATATCATTCTCGTCATTTATACGTATCATTCTTACATTGGCATACGCATGTTCGACGTCTAGTTTTTCATTTGAAATAAAATACAAAAACTAAATCATATCGTATATATGTGTATATGTAGATATAATACCAAGAAAACTCACGAAACAAAAGAAATTACGACGTGAATCTCCCATGCATGCGTCAACATGAATTCGGTCAACCTCTTTCTCTCTCTCTCTCTCCGTCAAATCCTAAACCCATCAACAGAGAAACCCACACCAAATCGGACAAACTCAGTCCACACCGCTGTTCTTGTCGGAACGGCGCCGGAGACTTCCGCCGCCGGCAACAAACAGTTCGCCATAAGAACGCTCCCCGTCGCGGCGGCCGGGCCCCTCCCCCAATCATACGGCGGATCCACGGCTTCTTCTAGGTTTATCTCAAACCCGGACACTTCCCCCAATCATACGGCGGATCCACGGCTTCTTCTAGGTTTATCTCAAACAGTTCCTCCTCTTCCTCCAATTCCTCATCGCCCTCTCTTGCATCACATGTCGTTTCATCATGTTTCTCTGGTTTCGTTTCTTGGTTAAGAAAACCGGAACCGGTACGAGAGGCCATTGTGATTTCCGGTTATCTCCGGTATAGGGATTGTGTATGCGGACATGTCATATGCTTGTGCGTGCGTGTGTGTATATATAGGTGAGGGATTTTAATGGCGATGTGGAGTTGGGTGGGGAAGGTGGCTAGTGGAACGGTCTGACCGAATCTACAACTATCTGTGAGAAATTTTGGAATTTTAGGCGTAAAATTGGCCGAAATTTAATTGATCTTTGAATATTTAAATTTGAGTGTAGATTTGTAAATTAAGATAAAAGGATTTAATTTTTTTTCTTTGCTAAATTTACACTATAATATAAATATAAAATATTTTATAATATTTATTTAATATTCACTGATATCTAATACAATTATAAAAATACTCTCTATATTTTTAAAATTATGGTACTTTATTCATCCTTCTTAAAATTACAAAATTATTTTAATTTTAATTTTTTAAAACTACAAAGTTTACTTTAATATTTTTACAAAATTCAGGTTTGGATGTTTTGAAGATAATTTTTCTATCCAAATTTAGATATCCAACATATACGGGTATAAGATTCGATTGCAAATCTTAGTACCAAAAGATACGAAAAGGTTCTTTAAAATTTTCAAATACTCCACATGTATCCCCATATTTTGTATCAATATTCAAAACCCTCATATTCATTTTTATTTAAAGTCTAGCTGTTATTTTTTGTTGGAAAAAAAAGTAGCTCTACCTTTGATAACCAACCGGTGTGAAAAATTCGATAGCTGCAATTGTATTAGCTACCATGTTTTGGATTTAGTTATAATTTAAAAGTTAATAGAATATCATTTTAATTTATTTTTTTTCTACCATTAAAATCATGAAATTTAAAATAATATTATGGTTGGGGCAAAAAGATAGTATCTTTATCTTATTCCTGTTTTTATTTACAATTATCCCTCTAATTAACTATATATATATAAACACTCTTAATTTTCTTTGTCTCATTACAATTGCCCCTTTAACTCATCCACCATACTAACTTGTTTTCCCCTAAAGATACTGAGCTCATGTGAAGCCTCTACCTCGAGGAGAAGGTTTCAACGATATGATATGAGAAGGAACAACTCCGAGCGGATTAAGGGTGTTTTAGAAAGAGAGAGAGAGAGAGATTACACTAATGCATACAACTTAACAACAGATGTGCAACATCTAATTATTTCAATGCTTAATTAAGATTACACTTAATTATTTGCAAAACAAACTATGCAGCTAAAGATTATTAGAACAATAATTAATTTCTCATGTGAATCCAGACCGGTCCGGTTTAAGCTGAACAAGCCGGGTCTGATGCGAGGTTGATTAACCAAACCGAGTCGCCTTGAACCGATATATCGTCGTCGTTCCTTTGCCATTTCCATACGGCATGAGTTCCGTTCACGAACTCGAGCTGACCGTGTCCGAAGCTAGCCTCTCTGAACAACGATATCTCCGGTTTCGGATCTATGTACCTATCCGTATCACAACAATTGAAATTATTTAAGAGGTTTTCCCAATTTCTAATGGAAAAATCATATCCCCAAAAGATTCATATGAATTATATTGGAAAATATAAGGAGTTATGTGGAGAGTTATCTGTTAAGAAACTATATTCCAATATATATTACAAATATAATTCCACAATAAATAACTCTCCATATATATCTCCCTATAATTCGCAATAGATTACGACATAATTTCATGACAGGAACTTACTTGCTAGCTAGGCCTTCGAGATTTCCACCGTCCCCTATGGTAATATACATCGGACCGCATTTGTCGAACTTATCTTGATACACCCGGCTCTATCAATATATATATAAGAGGATATATATTATTATATTTTTCTGTTTAAAAAAAAAAACCGAACCCTCTGGTTCAAAAAGAGGGATAAGGAAGAGGGACTTACGAAACGTTCGTAGGCATGGACATGTCCTGCGAAGACCAAATCTACACGAGCTTGGTACAGCATTGTTTCCATGTCTTCTTTCATCTTAACGCTCTCGTCTTCTCCTAGATGTGCCTTGTTGGAACTGTACCAAGGTGCGTGCACCACGGCCACCACCCACGGCGTGATCTTTCTATCGATTTTCTTGATATCGTTCTCTAACCATTTGTATTGATCCGATGTCGGTCCGAAATCGGTGTATGAACCCAACATTATCACATGGACCCCGGCCACATTGAAGGAATAGTACAAGTTCGAGGTCGATCCGCTCTCTTCGTAGGGCATGATCCACCTGCAATGTACAATTTTTTTTGTTATCTAAGTGTATATTCAAGTTTAGGTCGAGCCTGCAGGATATACGGGTATCCGTCCCGTAGATACCCGGAATTCGGAAACTCGATTCGTGCCAAGTATCATGCCGTCCGCGTGGTGTCTACAAACCCGAGCCTCGGTTTCGAGATCGGGTTTCATCGGGCAGTTACCCTTGTTGGTAACCCGAGCCGTGAGGGGGATAAAACTGAGTCCCATTAGGCTGAGATCCGGTAACTGACCGAGAAACCTGAGGGGCAAGGAGACGAGGGCGGATACACCGGAAAACTCGGGTAGAACATCTCATCCATGGCCGAAGCAAGATTGGTTCCGCAACCAAAGAATTTAGGTTATATGAGAAATCACCGTTACCAAAAAAAAAATCTAACTCTTAACGGGCGAAAAATTCACATCTTATTCGAATAAATCAAACAAGAATATAAAAAGAAAAGGGCGGGAAACCTGGCGTTGTAAGCGGTGAAAGGCTCGTTGTGGACAATGGGAAGTTTCTCGACCTCGTGGTTGCCCTGAGTGACCATCCAGGGCCGTTGGCTAGCCAGTGGCTGCACCAGACGACCGAACGAGTCCCATAACGGCTGGCGGAAGTCAGCGTACGCTAAATCTCCGGGCAATATGAACACATCATAGTTCGATTTCGATATGTGGTCCAACGTTGTCATCGTCCACTCCGTTTGCCCCAAGTCACCTTCCATTTTTTTATTTATATAAAAAAAACAAAAAAATTACGTTATATATAAAAGCGGATCGAAGAAAAAATGATTATCGGATTCATTAATAATACAATCACAAAAAAAAAATAGAAGATATTAGTTTGGTACTAAATATAATATAATATGGCGGTATATTTAGAAAATTTTATTATTGGGTACTATCAATAGATTCAATACTATATGATAAAAATAAAAGTCATTAGTCTAATTTTAGCATGGATACGGTACAAAATTAGTATTTATTTTTAGGGAAAATAAAAAAAAAACACTGAACTTTACAATTTTGACAAAAAAAACACTGAACTTTATTTTTTGTCAAATAAACATTAAAATTTTTAAACAAATCTAAAAAAATACTGAACTTTTTAAATGATCCAAAAAATACAAAAACTTTTCTGCGATTATAAAAAAACACTGAACTTTTTTAATGATTCAAAAAAATACATGAACTTTTTTCGATTGTAAAAAAAATTAAATAAAATAATCTGACGTGTTTGCGTCTCATTGGGCCACGTCATTCATTTTGTTCATTTTGATAACCGTAGAAGAATTAAGTGTTTATTTTGTCAAACTTAAAAAGTTTAATGTTTATTTGATAAAATAAAAAGTTCAATATTTTTTTTGTCAAAATTGTAAAGTTCAGTGTTTTTTTTTGGATTTTCCCTTATTTTTATTGTTTTATTTGTTAATAATAATCTTAGATATCGTATATATATATATATATGTATATATATTGTGCTGTAAATATATAAAAAAAAAGGTTGTGTACGGTACCTGAGACAGCGAACTTGATGGGGAGGTTGGAGGGAGGGGTCTTAAGGCTGAACTCTTGGGCCGAATCTGGGCCTCCACATTTGTAATAGTAAACCTTATTGGGCTCTAATGGGCCTATCACAGCATTGTGGATTTGACCCGATTTATAAAACCAAGTGTATTTGTACGACGACGTCGTTCCGGTGGCAGAAGCTTCGTATTTCCCTGAGGTTGTGCCGTAGACCACAACAGCGGGGGTCTCGTCCTCTGTGATCCATGATATTCTCATTTTGTCCGGCCCAACCAGTGATATGTGGACCTTTAAATTCAAATTCAAATAAAAAAATGAGTATAAAAACTCATATATATATATATATATATATATACACACACACACACATATAGTTAGAATATTTATATTTAAAACTAATGGTAATAAAAAATTATAAGTTTAGATTAAAAAAATAGATATATTTCAACGGAAGTTATTTAGAAATAAAAATTCAATAATAGTTAAGAATTTATGTATCTATATAAAAATATTATATATTTAATGTATTCATGTGTAATAAAAGAATCGATATATTTGTTTCCTAATTCTTTCTTACAATACAGGATTTTAACCAAATGAGTAATGTGCATTTTTATAGAATGAAAATCGGATAGTGCCTAAAAAAATATAACATTTTGGAAATTGGATTGGATTTTTTTTCATAATTGTTCCATCTCATACAATTTCAACTGTAAACATAATTTCTCCAATTGAATCTGACTATGAATATTTTATACGTATAATTAATTATAGATTTCTTTAAACAAACATAATATCTATTACTTTCAGAAAAAAATTGAAAGAAAAATATGAAAGTAAATTAAACACAATTTAAAACAAAAGTAAACTAACGGTTTCTTGTCAAAGTAAAAGACGGAAAGACAAGAAACCGTTAACGAGGACCTAACGGAGGGACAAAGGTTGGGAGAAGAAGGGTTGACTTGCCGTGCCGGCGACACGTGGCTTCATTTGGACAAAACCACGTGTCATTCCGTGACACCCTCAACCCAGATTTTGGTACCGACTAGTTTTTATTTTTATTTCATTAAATTGGAAAATCAAATAAATATACGCTTGATCTCGAGAGACTGCATGTTAATTAGCATATAAAAAGTTTAGTGTTTTGCAACCTAAATTTATTTTCTAACTTTATTACCCAACTCCTTAACCAAATATACCTCCCAAGTTTAGTAAAATTATTACATATTTCTTCATCAAAAAAAATTTATTACATATTTATCAAAATATAACAAAAAATATACACCAACATCAACATATCATGAATTTTAATTTGCTATATAAACATAAGAAGTGAAGAAATTAAAGTATGAAACCCTAATATTTTTTTAATGTCAGTTCGCGAGCCGACCGAGCTAGCCCGGATGGACTCGGACTCGTCGCGAGCTGACTCGTTCGTCCCGTTTTTAGGCTCGTTCGGCCCGTTTTTATTTGGTCTTTTATTTTTTTAGCCCAGCTCGATAAAAAACGAGCCAACCGCGAACCAGCTCGCGAGCCTGGCTCATTTTGACATCACTAATATATATACACACACATATATATAGTTAGAATATTTATATTTAAAACTAATGGTAATAAAAAATTATAAGTTTTGATTAAAAAAATAGATATATTTCAACGGAAGTTATTTAGAAATAAAAATTCAATAATAGTTAAGAATTTATGTATCTATATAAAAATATTATATATTTAATGTATTCATATGTAATAAAAGAATCGATATATTTGTTTCCTAATTCTTCCTTACAATACAGGATTTTAACCAAATGAGTAATGTGCGTTTTTATAGAATGAAAATCGGATAGTGCCTAAAAAAATATAACATTTTGGAAATTGGATTGGATTTTTTTCCATAATTGTTCCATCTCATACAATTTCAACTGTAAACATAATTTCTCCAATTGAATCTGACTATGAATATTTTATACGTATAATTAAGTATAGATTTCTTTAAACAAACATAATATCTATTACTTTCAGAAAAAAAAATTGAAAGAAAAATATGAAAGTAAATTAAACACAATTTAAAACAGAAATAAACTGACGGTTTCTTTTCAAGGTAAAAGTAAAAGACGGAAACACAAGAAACCGTTAACGAGGACCTAACGGAGGGACAAAGGTTGGGAGAAGAAGGGTTGACTTGCCGTGCCGGCGACACGTGGCTTTATTTGACAAAACCACGTGTCATTCCGTGACACCCTCAACCCAGATTTTGGCACCGACCAGTTTTTATTTTTATTTCATTAAATTGGAAAATCAAATAAATATACGCTTGATCTCGAGAGACTGCATGTTAATTAGCATATAAAAAGTTTAGTGTTTTGCAACCTAAATTTATTTTCTAACTTCAACCTCTTTCTCTCTCTCTCTCCTTTATTTTACCCAACTCCTTAATCAAATATACCTCCCAGGTTTAGTAAAATTATTACATATTTCTTCATCAAAAAAAAATTTATTACATATTTATCAAAAATGATAATTATTACATATATATCTATATTTTTCTGTAATTAAAAATTTTAAAATTATAAACGAACGTTTTAATGGAAAGCGACAATAGTGGATTTTGGCCGGTAATTTAGCAAGCATCCTTGTTTTCAGCCATTTTAAGATTTTATTGTACAGGTGATTATTCGTCTATTAAAACGTCTATAAAATTAAAATGATATTAAAAATAAGTATATTTACCCAAAAAAAAAAGGAAAATAAAGAAACCCAGAAAAAACGAAGGAATTTTTTATAAACCTTGATGAAAAAAGAGTTTTCTTTTGAACATATCATGTAATTTGTCGTGCAGAAACCGTCGTTGAGCGAAATGAAAATAAAAATAAAATGGAATGGAAAAAATTATAAGGATGAAAAAGAGATGAAAATCGTTGCATTGAATGAGTACGGACCTGTTCGGGGAACGTAGGATCTTGATCATTCAGTGATGGAGCGTAGATCATTTTCCGGGCGGCGGGCCGATCATATGATAAGACATTCCCGGCGAACATCATCGCCACCATCGCCGGAATCATCCACAACTTTGCCATTTTCCCGGAGAGAGAGAGGGAGAGAGATCTAGAGAGAGAGGGCGAGAGAGATGTTGTGAGTGATGAGAGACGAGGGGTTTCTTCTGGGAATTTATAAAATGTTAACTAGAAAATAATAATAATCCATCAAAAAGGAAAATTTATATATTAGCGATACCAGTTGATGCGAAAACAGTAAAACTAGAAAAATAAAGTATGTGTATATAAAAACAAAAAAGGTAAAATCCCATTTTAAAAAAAATGTAAGAGTGACGTACAAATGTGAGCACATTTTACCACATCAAATTGTCATCAAATTGCCATGCCATTTAAAACTCAAAATTCTTATATGTATATAATTTATTGTGAATATACTCACATATGGCAACATATATTTACGCATATATATATATATACATACAAAATCAATCGTACGTACGTACATATATATATATATACATAAATTATGTAGATACATTTGTTTGTATGGATATATCATAGATAGAAACAGATCTTAAAAAATACAAGTTAAAATAGTATATAGTCTCACTTGAATTCTTCTGTATTTTTTATAATTAGATAATTTTTTATGTGTTATTTACAAAATATGCTAAACAATATGTGTATTTACAAAAAGGAGAGTTGACGTTCGCAAATTATAACTTTTTTTAAAAAAAAAATATCCAGATTACCCTGAACAATTTTAAATTGTATTTACCGATGAATTAAAAAAAATGTCACTGTCATAAAAAAAATTATGAACTTCATTAGAAACTTTGCAAATCACAGACACTAGGTATAAAAATATTTACTAAAGATATGAAATATATATATATAAAAAAGGAGAGACTTCTTGTAGAATAAAAATTATTTTAAAAAAATAATGATATAAGAGGTAATATATATTTTAAAAATATAATGATGTTATTCTTGATAGTATAAAATATAGTTGAGATTATTTTTAAAAAATTTACTCTAATTTTTTATTTTATTTTGGTTAAAAAGAAATCTGATTCAATGAATTGGGAACACCAAAATGAGAATTATATCGTTCCTTAATTACAACCAAATTAATTACTTAGAGCCAATAATGCACTGGATTTAGTTTCCCTTGAACTTCTTTTACCCAAATCTGTCCTTTTTTATCATCCAAGTTTTTCGCATACATACATACATACATACATACATACATACATACATACATACATACATACATACATACATACATACATACATACATACATACATACATACATACATACATACATACATACATACATACATACATACATACATACATACATACATACATACATACATACATACATACATACATACATACATACATACATACATACATACATACATACATACATACATACATACATACATACATACATACATACATACATACATACATACATACATACATACATACATACATACATACATACATACATACATACATACATACATACATACATACATACATACATACATACATACATACATACATACATACATACATACATACATACATACATACATACATACATACATACATACATACATACATACATACATACATACATACATACATACATACATACATACATACATACATACATACATACATACATACATACATACATACATACATACATACATACATACATACATACATACATACATACATACATACATACATACATACATACATACATACATACATACATACATACATACATACATACATACATACATACATACATACATACATACATACATACATACATACATACATACATACATACATACATACATACATACATACATTTAGCAGCCCTAATGACAGTTTAAAGCCATGAACTTAAACATTATTAATCAAAATCAATTGATGAATATATATTACAAAAAAAAAATAACAAAGTGCATGGGGACCAATTTCAGACGCATTAAAATTTGTATTATTAATAATGGTGTGAAGTAGTTCTCGAATTGCTTACTACTTATTATCGTACGATACAGTTACTCTGTCATATACGTAATTTGAAAAATGAGGAAGTTCAATAGATTATATAAGAACACGTTTGGCTCGTGTAATAACAATATTTGACAATTCAAAGCAATGTTTTTAACGTTATGAAATGTCATGACGAGTTAATCTTGACATCTATTTCGTATCAGAATCTCCGATATATATCAAGTATAAGTGTTGGGAAAATATTTTATTTAAAAGATTCCGTTATACAATATAGTTCATGAAATTTTGTTCTATTAGGAAGTAGATAATTTTAAAAGATTTATTTACTGGGATACAAATATTAATTTATCCTTTTTTTTAATAGGAAATGCCAATCGAATAATCATCAAAATATATACCTTTTTTTTTTTAAAAACAATTGTTTATATATTTCCACATTTTGATAACGCCAACACGTTTTTTCGTTCACATGCCATTGAAAACCTAAATGAAAAAGAAATTTAAAAATTCCCAATTAAAATTTTGGTATACATATTCCACGATTTAGAAATTGCTTCCAAATTAATACCCATCAAATAATGATGTTAGTTTGCAGTTAAGTTAACTGTATATGTCCTGACATTCTAATTTATGCCAATACATGACATGTGTATGATGCCACGTAATAGACAAATCAGCAAACCAAATGATTTGAAATCGTTTTTTAGTAACCGGATGTCTGAACCGAGGCCTAAATTAATCCCAAAACCGTGAACAACTCTATGATTGGAATTACGCTCGTCTCCCCAATTTGAAACTCGAACTCGAAGTGGAACATACGTTTTGTGTTTCTATTTTACCGGTTGAACTCGGTAATTTGAAATCGCTTCATATGTTCCGAAATTTTAAACCAATTTTAACTGAAATTGACTAATATAAAAGAATAACAACAACAACAAAAAAAACCCTTAAAACAAAAAGAAAAAACAGGATCGATATGGTTCACTGCCGGCGATATGAGGAGGAATCAATCGCGAACGAGAGAAATCGATGGAATGATCACGAATCCAGTTTTTTTTTTTTTAGTTTTTAGGGTTTTTTTTTATATTAATCAATTTCAATCAAATTGGTTTGAAAAAATCGGCACCATTTTATATAATTCGGTTTGCTGATTTATTGATGTTTATTATGTGGCATACATATGTCATATGACGTGGCATAAATTAAAATACTAAATCATATACATAAACGCCAAACTAATACTGTTATTTTGTGGATATTAGTTTAGAAACAATTTTTAAACTGGGGAATATATATACCAAATTTAATAATGTTCGCCCTTGAAATACAAGTTCTTGAATATTTTGTTATGGATCCAAAGTATTGTCACTCTTGCCCAATTTCAAGCCCAATTAATATTTTGTTATGGAACTAAAGTTTTGTTACTCACGCCCAAAATTTCAAGCCCAAATAACGCAAATTTTCTTTCCTGGGAATTGTTTTTTGGTAAAAATATACCTCATTATGTATATAAATAGACACGGATACATCATACATGCATGTAAATTATGGAACTGGAGTTCCTTTGTTTTTGTTTTTCAAGACATTCAAAAGAAAAATACGGATCTTTTTCCGATTTTTTTTTATAAAAAAAGACAACCCTAAAACCACAAATTAAAAGCCCTTGAATCAAACATGAACTAAACCATTTACACACGATGTCTAAAACTCAAGACTCAAACTAATCCGGAGACGGGAGTCAGTCATATGATTTAGATTATGCATTCCCTTTCTAAACTTGAGATTCGAATTCAAGGTAAAATCTACGTTTTGCGCCCTCGTTTCATTGGTTGAACTAGTGAAGTTTGGGTTTAAATGATGTAATCTTGATAACCAAACCGGGAAAAACATCATCAGGGTCATGGATATGAGGGTTCTCTTCCACGATATACGGATCTCCACACTTCTCACTTATCGTTTGCAACGTCTCTCCTTCTTTCACCACGTAGATCTCGTCGCACGGTCGAGAAGAAGAAGAACTCCCCGCCTCCATCAACGGCCGTGATCGAGTCTGGTCGGGAAAATCAACGGTCTCGATCTCCGCCACGTCGCAGCAGTTCATCACCAGCATCACTGCCGCGAACACGGCGGAGTACCACGAAATCTTCTCCGCCATTGCCATTGATGCCGAAGAACTCGTAGCCATTCTTTCTCTCCCTTTTCCCCGACACGTTAAAAAAAGTTGTTTTTTTTGCTTAGAGGGTTTTTGATATCTTGGGTTTATTACAACATGTGTGTGTATATATATATATATATATATATTTATATGTTGATGTATGTATAGGTTCACGTATAACTTGTGATAACGACCGTATAACAAGGGAGTTCCTTCTGTTTAAGTTGTTGGAGTTGGTGTAGAACTATTGTTTCAGGTTCTTTTTGAGTTAGGTTAACAAGAAAATTATTTGTGAAATTATAAATATATCATACAGCCATTAATTTAATCAAACTACTAGATATTTTAAAAGTTAAATTTAAATTTCAAAAGTTAGGGTTTTAATATTTTGGAGTAATATTATGCTAGCAGACAAGTAAATTAATCAAACTTTTAGATATTTTGCAAATTTAAATTTATGTGTAGTAATAACACATATAGCATAGAAAGATTTAATTCTTCTTTTTTTTTATTATATGAAATTGGGGATGATGGAATTAGTAATGTAGAAGAAAAAAAAGTTGGTGTAACTGCTTTTATTAAATTGGGTCGGTCTATATAGGTTTGACTAAATTTTTTGTTGTCTTTGCAAAAGCTAAATCCGAATGTGTGATTTTTTTCCCCAGAAATTTCAAAGGAAAAAGACAAAATTGCAAAAGTCCAACTGGTCCAGATTAAAATTAGTTTTGAGAATATTATATACTTTTAATTTTATTTTTATTTAAACATTATAATTTGAATTGAGATAAAGGAGGTGGGCGAATTTTACAAGATACAATATATTAATTTAAATCAGATTATGTGGAACGAGAATAAGTTAATAAAAGACCAAAGTGTGTGCCGTTTTTATAAAACGACGGCGTGGTGTGCTCTCAATGGATCTGAATGGGAATCATTCCGTAACATTGAACGCAACTTACAACTTAACTAATTAATCAATTAATTAATTAATTTTATAAAAATAAAAAATAAAATAAAATCTCCTCCAACAACGAGAATTTGTATAAAAATAAAAAAAAATAATTAATTCATTTGCATGGTGTTTAAATCAACTTAAAGGGAAAAGTATACCAATTATACAAAACGTACTAAAATATACACCTATATTTCCAATTTTTACAGAAATGCACGAATTATACTAAATTTCTAAAAACACACCAATTCGTATTTTTTTTCAAATTACTATAGGATCGCTAACTCCATTAAACAAAATATTAGTTTTTAAAATTGTTATAACATGAACTTATTATATTAAATTGAATTAAATTAAACCATATCACATTAATTAAATTATCTTGAAAAAACCATTAAACCCATTAACAGGGACAGTTGCCGACAAGATTCATAATCATTACGTGTATAATATATATATATATATATATATATATATAAGGATAAGATAAAGATAACTACGAGACCACATGAATGGTTGGACTCACATCATCTCCGGTAGTATGTTCATTTTGGTATATGTTTCGATTCCATTCGGTTTGATTTTTTGATTCTATAAAAATATACACTGATCTATTATAATATTATATTTGGTTTACTTAGGTTTCAGTTTCGGTTTGATTCAATTCGGTTTCAATATTTATATAGATATTTTTTTTAAATTTCAGTAATTTAATTTTTTTTAAAAATTCGATTTGATTCGATTTTAAAAAATTCGATTTTGTAAAATAAAATACCGTTCTAAACAGTTCAATTTGAGATTGATATCATGTTTTATTCGGAAAAACCGTACCGAAAAATCCACCTCTAATCTCCATCGGAGCTTCTAATATCGTTTTTTAATCGGTGCACTAATAAATATAAATTTATGTACCGGTTTGCAATTAAAACGAAGATAGAATATACAAATTACTATATCAAATCTCAATAAAAGTACCACAAACTTTTACATAGCCGTGCCGAATAATGTATTCCCTACAATAAATTTATGATTTTTAGTAAGATATTTTTGTGAATTTAGAATTTAATTTGCGGTCACCATCAACCAAGACCTTGCAATGGTTCAATGATCACTTATAAAACTTTATACATACATATAAAAACATATATATATATATTTCTGGTAAAAACATAAAATATTTCATAATATTTTTTTATAAGGAAAAAATATTTTGATATCGAACCAAATATATAAATTGATATTAATGAGAGATCATTAATATATAAATTTATATTAATTAAAGATCAGTAACAGCCATTGTTACATATCATAAAACACTAATTACAATGTAAAGGTAATTTAGGAAAAATATCCCATTCACCTAATCTTTTATGACATTATATATAAGAATTCTTTAACCATCTAGGTATATTATCAACCATCATAATGCATGCAATATTACAATGTGTAATAACAAAAGCAATTAAAATATAGATGGCCAATTAGTATGTAGATTACAGATTTAAACACCAACTAATCCATAAAATTAGATTCAATGTAATTACAGAACGAACCAAAAGAGTAAATTCAAAAAACAAAATAATCAAATGGATGAAATTAAATGATTATCGCAATATTAATTATTAGCTTTCTTCATCACTGGCTGGTCCATAATAATGCCGTGTGATCCTGTTTCGCCGCTGTTTCCTCTCTCTTCGTATATTTCTCTGTCTGCTGATTCATCGTTTTGGAATTCTGTGAATCTTCTTCTCCAAAAACAGGTAACAAATCTCTCTCTCCCTCTCTCCTTTTTTTTCTCTCTTATTCTCTTTTTTTTCCTCTTTAAACCTTTCGATCTCTTCCTCTTTCTTCTGGTTAGCCTTTTTCCTGGTTTCTGTTCATACCTTCCGTTTGGTTGCCGAGAAAACGCAGGAAAATCCGATTGTTTTCTTTGTTTTTAAGGCGTTTCTTGTTTTTCTCGGCGACCAATTTTCGTCCTTTGTTGTTGCGATTCCGCAGATTGTAGTAACCTTATTCCTCGTTTTTTTTTCTTTTTCCGATCATTTCCAGATTTTTTCGACGATCTTGATTTGAATCATCAACTCCCTCCTCCGAGGTCTATTTGACGTAAACGCTTGGGAAAAATCATGGCGGAAGAACATCGTTGCCAAACGCCTGAAGGCCACCGTCTCTGCGTCAACAACTGCGGCTTCTTGGGCAGCTCCACAACCATGAATCTCTGCTCCAACTGCTACCGCGATCTCTGCCTAAAGCAACAACAACAAGCCGTGAAATCCACCGTTGAAACCTCCCTACCACATCCCTCCTCCGCCGCCTCTTCACCGCCGCCTTCGGCGATCGAATCGATCTCCTCGCTGACGATCTCGCCCATACCGGAGAAATCCGCTTCCTCCAGCGCCGCCGCCGCCGCAGGGTTAGAGATCGCGACGATTGAGGTAGATCTGGCACCACCGACGGAGGTAAAGACGGTGAAATCTCCGGCGGAGCAACCGTCGTCGCAGCCAAGCCGATGCTCGGTGTGCAGGAAACGGGTCGGGTTGACCGGGTTCAAGTGCCGGTGCGGGACGACGTTCTGCGGGACCCACAGGTACCCGGAGGTCCATGGATGCTCCTTCGATTTCAAATCCATTGGCCGTGAAGCGATCGCGAAAGCCAACCCTCTGGTCAAAGCCGCGAAGCTCAACAAGATATGATCTCAGCCGTTGGGCGCGTTGACTTTTCTCCTCTGAATCCGCGTTGCCAGAGGAATCCATGATTGATTCTTCTCGGTGAATCTCAGCCGTTTATCATAGTTTATATATATGTATATGTAAAATCATGTGTAATGTCATCTAGACACGTGTCAAGTGGCACGGGTGAAAGACGGCTTCCTCATCTTTTCCATGATTTTCCTTTTTTTAATTAAGCACCATTAAGTTCTAATTAAGTGCATTTAAAATAGATCGTGCCACGTGTAGAAATTTGATTGGATGGAATTCTTTTGCACAAAACCGTTATAAAATACCGTTAGATGGCAATATAGTTTAGTTTCCATGAATTATGTTTGGATCGAGTCTCTCTACGTGGGAGAGACGTATGATTCAGGGTTTTGGGATATGGCATTATATCATCTGAAAATGATGTATTGAATATTAAAGTTCGAAACTTTATGAAAAATAAATAAAGATGGCATATTTTATATAAAGAATATTTTTTACAAAATGTAGTAATTCAATACAAAAATCACAAGCCATTCAAATTACGAAATGTTTTTTGCACTAACCACCAACATCATATACAAGAGTTGGTAAAAAAAAATCAAAATTTAACCCAAAACCGGTTTTCGATTTTTATTTTTGTTTTTATTCTTATGATTCCAAAACAAATTGTACCTTCGCTATACGAACAATTATTTAGAGTTCATCCTTCTTCCGAT